CTAAGGATGTACGCACTCTTTTAAAGACTCCTTCTAATACTGGAGAAATTGTAAAATTTGAAGATGGAGAATATGTTCATATTGGCTTCGAAGTATCTATTATTGCAAAATTATCTAACATGCATTCTCATGCAATTCCACTTTCCTTAGAGATAGATATTAGTACTGATGGAGCACAATTACATCGTAATGGAAAAATTCAAATTTGGCCTATTCAATTTCGAATTTACAATATAACTGATAATAGTCCTGGAATAGTTGGAATATACAAAGGTTATAAAAAACCTAATAATCCAAATATATTTTTTAAATATTTTATTGAAGAAATAAAAAAAATTTCTAATGCTAGAGGTATTGTTTATCGAAATAAATTAATACCTATTATTTATAGGAGTTTTATAGCCGATGCTCCTGCTAGAGCATTTATTTTAAATCATAAAGCTCACAATGCCAAGTATCCTTGTTCTAAATGTAGAGTTTCAGGTCTTTATTTAAATGGAGTAATGTCTTTCCTTGGTACAATTCATGAGCCTCGTACAGATAATGAATACGCACAATGGATATATAGTAATCATCATAATAATGAGATAATTAGTCCTCTGTTACAAATTCCATTAAATATGGTATCTCAAGTACCATTTGATTACATGCATTTAGTGTGTCTAGGCGTGGTAAAAAGACTTTGTAAAGCATGGTTGATTGGAAATTTTACAAAATCCGCTAAATTATCTGCTAGACATATTGACTTGATATCTTCAAGATTGGAAAGTATACAGAAATATTGTCCGGTAGAATTTTCTCGACCACCAAGATCTTTGAAAGATTGGAGAGATTATAAAGCCACAGAATTCCGACAATTCTTACTATATACAAGTCCTGTTGTACTAAGTGGAATATTGCAAGAAGATGTTTATTTGCATTTCTTGTTGCTTCATACATCAATACGTATATTAATATCTTCAACATATTCACAAAAATTATTGCATTTCTCTGATATTGCATTAAAAAAATTTGTTTTATTATCTGAGAATATTTACGGCAAAGATTTTATATCTTACAACATTCATGGCTTGTTACATTTAACAGAAGATGTCAAAAGATTCGGACCCTTAGACACCATTTCTACTTTTCCATTTGAGAATAAAATTCCATTTATCAGAAAATATATCAGAAAGCCACATCTTCCTTTGCAGCAGTTTATTCGAAGAATGAGTGAATATCATGGACAATCAATACACTATGAAAAGTTGACAATGAATAATCACATTCGAGTATCACAATCACATGAATCTGGTCCATTAATTCAAAATGAAATATTTCTTCTTTGTAAGCAATATAGAAAATTAGAATACAATAACATGATTTTTAGTCTTCGTCTTAACAATAACTGTTGTCTTTTGAAATGTTCATCAATTTGTTTGATTCAAAATATTCTTATAGCGGATGAACAATATTATTTTATTGTAAAAAAATTTAAATACGTTAAACATTTTTATGATGTTGGCATTTTATCTGATAAAGTTGAATTTTTTTTATGTTCAGAATTACTTAATAATGAAATTGTACCTTTAACAAATGTTGTAACAAAATGTTACAGAATGCCATTTTTTGAAACCGATAAAAGTGATAATAGTAGCAATAATGAAGGCACTGACATATATAAGTTTGTAGTAGCTGCTATAAATTTTTAATAATAGATTTTTCAATTATTTAATGTTTTGTTTTTACGCTATTTTTACTTTTGATTTATGGAAAAGATTATTTTTGTTCTTTTTTGTACATATTTCATACATCTTTATTATTCACATGAGGGAGCGGTCCTCTTTAGAATTTAAAAATTTTTTAATTATGAATATGCTTTTTAATGTGTGGGGATTTATTTATTATACATGGTACGTTTACAGTAAAAATTACATAAAAAATATTTTTCTTTTTACATTTTATTGCAAAATAGGAATATAACAACATAATATTTGTTACTGTAAAAATTGTTAATTTTATGTACAGGGTGTCCAATGACTCGAGGTCCATAGCTTAAGAGCGTGTTATTGAAGTCATTTAGAGTTAAAATTGTTTAATAAACATGTTCGAAACTGCTTCCTAACAGATAATCCCACTAATATATACCTAATATATAACTTCGCTGTATACCATATACGTACAGTGCAGGATTCACAGTATTTCCGTGCTTGATATACATAACATTCATAAGTTTGAGTCAGACTTTTGACATTAAAATTAACTGACAGTGAAGTGAATGTGCCCGTGGGTAATGAATGTAAAAAGGTAAGCAAAATTGTATCTTTACATTTTGTTGCTACTCACACTGCACTCATACGTTACTATAAGTTACAATTCTTTACTCTTATTTTTACAATGTATTTTTTATTAGCTCATCAATGACGAATCAATAACTTACTATGCAAAAGCGCATGAAAAAGAAGAACAATGATACAAAAACGTATTTCTGTAGAAATTGATAGACCTTTTTTGGGATTAGATACATTGAATACGAGTTTCATCGATTCTGACAAGAAAATTACCAGTCCACCAAGAAGTCCATCAATATTATTCCGTGGATATCCTAGAACATATGACAAGAATCTGATGAAGCAATCTCGACTTGTGTTTCAACTAGCAAAGCACAACGAAAAGAAGATATTATTGCCAAATAAACCAGCTAGCATATTGCCAAAAACAGAAGAAAATTCCATAAGTGATATTCCTCTAGAAAAAGTATTTGTTACTTCGAAAAGTAATACTTCAAGCACCAATGAAACTGTCGAGGGTGATGTAATAGAGCTCAGTCCTACAGAGAGTAGATGTAATAGAGCTAGACGTTTAAAAGAGAAATTAAAGAGGAATGACATCAATTTATGTGATACGGAGAATAGACTACCTGTGGAAATATTACTGAAGAAAGACAGGTAAATATTTTTTAATACAAGTTAATGTAATTTTCTTTGCCCATCTGATACATAAAAAATTATTTGCAGGAAAAGAAGAAAGAAAAACATCCCAGAGCAACTTAATATGCGACGCAAAGGTGATAAAGCAAAAATAGATGGCTGGGATTGCTGGGAATGCAAACAGGTAATAGATTAACAAATAATATACATATAATTGCATAAAGCACATTTTTTTACAAAAAAAGAATTAATTTCTAATATTGTTTTATTTTCAGTATTATAAGAATTTGTCGTTGATGGGAGAAGAGTTAAAGAAACGGAAAAATCAAGTCTCGCGTCACCGACATAGATACGAAAGACCAAATACACCAGAAGGTACACCATAAGTGTTGTGTATTTCCATATGTTATACATAATACATATATTATACATAATACATATATATGATAAAACGTGAAATTTTTGTACAGGTTTTTGGGATTTAGAATTTCCTGAAACATCATCCACTTACCGGCAAAAATTAAATTGAGACATAATCAATTACAAACAAGTAAGGACATAATATGTTTAATACTGGTAATAGTAAAAATATTTAAATTGCATTTCGAGTGGAGAACATTTAAATTATATGCTTGGTAATGTACCAAGAAAATTTGTGCCTTGTGCACAGCATTTAGCTTCGTAGAAAAATTAATTTTCTACAAAGCTCAATGCACTACCATCCGCGTTTGGCTCATTTTTTTTTGCCTCGATTATTTACATTTGTAACTTTGATCTTATGAAACTGTCATTCTAAATTTGTTTATAAATATATTTGTTTCAATTATTCCATGTATTTTGTATTTCTTAAAGTTTGATGAAACTAAACAAACATAAAACATCTGTATTCAAAATATTATACATGCGTCAAATAGGACTGGGAGGAAGTGTTAAATACTTTCATGATTTGAACATAGATCATTTTATTATTTTACATGTATATATTATATTTTGGATAACAATATAGATTTATACAGGGATCTCATAATAGGTAAAAAACCTCTCGTGTACAGGTAGAGCGGGTTACTAAGTAGAAAAGTACTGTACCATTTTGCGATTTTGACATATTTTGACATAAAATACAAAATATCACGTAAAATATTTAGTTTTCAGTAATCTTACCTTAATACTTTTATGCACAAAATAGTGAGATAAATCAATTGATGCAAAGAAAACGCCTCTAGTTGTCTCTAAAAAATTGTATGCAATTTGCAACATGCAGTGTCATATATTTTTTTTCAAGACAACTATGCGTTTTCTTTGCGCCAATTGATTTGTCTCACTATTCTGTGCATAAAAGTATTACGGTAAGATTATTGAAAATTAAATACTTTACGAGATATTTTGTATTTTATGTCAAAATATGTCAAATCTTTTTTAATTAATTTCTCAATAATTATTGCAAAAATTACAAAATGCTAAAGGACTTTTCTACTCGGTTTGACTTTCTCTATCAGTCCACGAGAGATTATGCGGTCATTGCCGAACATCTTGTATATAAATTTATACAGGGTGTTTCATAACATTGTGCCAACATTCATGAGCAGGTAGGGCATAATAAACTGAACAGGAAAGTTCTTTACCACTTTGCAATTTTCGCAATATTTATTTAGATATTAATTAAGAAAGATTGGCAAATAACCGCGCGTTTCGCGCAGCTAGACTATAAGATGCATGCTCGAGGTGTGTCACAGCGTGTGTCGCACGGCAACGCTTTTACTGCTCCCTGCTCGTGTTGTACCCCGCATCTCGCCGCACGTCCAAATTTTTCGTTGCCGTGCGACGAGATGCAACACACGCCGCTGGCACGCCCTGTGTATATATCCTACAGTCTAGCAGCGCTAAATGCGCGCGCTTATTTGCCAATCTTTTTAAATTAATATCAATAAATATTGTGAAAATTGCAAAATGAAAAAAAACTTTTCTGTTCAGTTTATTATGTCCTACCTGCTCACGAACGTTGGCACAATGTTTATGAAACACCCTGTATATAAACTCATCTCTTTACATAAAAATATTTCATCATCATTGCGATATCATAGCTTATATTTCTTGAGTGTTAATATTGTGCATTATCTTTTTCATAAATTACTACATATAATCATGTTTTTATTGCTACTTTATATATGATAAAATTATTCTTGCCAAAAAGTTTATGTAACAATTAAGTATTTAAATTTTGCAGATATAAAGTCAATATGAACAGACGACCTAAGAGGGAAAATATAAAAAAACCTTTGCGTTATGAAACTACTGAATCTTCTGATAATGAAGGGGAATCAGCTAAACGATATAAAGAGCAAAACAAGACTTCTGTTACCGATGAGATCAGAGATATTCGAAAGAATTTATCACAATATGAGAATGAAGAATTGGCTAAACAGAAAGCAATTAACAGTGCATCCAAATGTTATTCTGCATCTCAGAATGACAAATCACTTCACTTGCCGTCACGTATAGATGATTCATGTGTACATGGTTCTCAACCAATCATTGCATCTCAATTGGCATTAAATTCTCAGCCTTTTGCCAATACAACTCCGATATCTCATAATCAATTTCCAGCAACGTCTGTAACAAATTCACCTATCGTATCTCAATCTTCATTTTGTACGATATCTAAGCCTTCATGTTCTTCAACAATTAACCATCCAACATTTGCAAATTCTCAAACATTATCAGAATCCCAGACTTCTTTTCCATTAACTTCAATGAATGATACTGAACAAATACGTAATAAAAAATACGATTATGAAATGAATAATAATACACACACAGAGTGCCCTATCGAAAATATAGAAATACCTTGTCAAAATGCGACTAAACATCTCTCATCATACGAATATTTGCCAGTATCATCAGCATCTCATATTCCACCAACAATTTCGATGACAAATAATATGGTTTATTATACACCACATCATAATAGAGAATCAACACATAATCAGAAAATGGGACATCTTGAAAATACAATTGAATCGTCTTCAGTAATAAGTCCTGAATCTTATACATCACCTTCACCTCAATCTTGTTCATCTTCATTGTCACGTGATTCCGAGACTCCATCATTGACTTTACTGTCAGCTCCAGTACTTCATAATAATGTTACTTATAATACACAACCTAATACACTTACTTCTAATCACGAACATCCTAATCCCACCATAACGTATCATCAAAATACTCCGCAGGAAAATACTAATATTATAAATGAAATTAAAATGCAAGTGATGGAATGTGTGAGAAACGTAATGACAGAATTCAGGTAATGAAACAATTTTTTTGCAATTTTCAAATAACTTATCTGTCTTTTTTGCATGTTAATAATAGACTTGTGTTTATGAAATTTTTTCTCTATCTTTACCAGTAATTCCTAGTCTCTATAATATAATTTTTAACTTATTTTTTGAGATTTTTATATAAGACATAGAAATCATCTGTCATTAATAAATTTCAAGGTTTACTTAATACCTCTTATGGAAAAAACATTCAATTTGAGAGTGTTATTTCGAACACTGACAATGAGTAATATAATGCTCTATTTGAGCATTGAATTGAGCGTTACTCTCAAATATGTTATACATTGTTACAACAATGTTACAATAATATAACTTATTTGAGAGTAACGCTCAAATAGAGCATTATATTACTCAGAGTGTTCGAAATAACACTCAAATTGAGTGTTTTTTCCATATAAAATGATTTTTCTCTTGTTATTTAAAATGTAAGGAATTTTAGAAACATTTTTTATTAGAAAATCATCGAATATTTAACACTTTGTTTATAATTTTTCTGTTAACAGAACGAAAAATCAATGCTTACATAGAGAAAAAATAAATAGAAGACCTGTGAAACCAAAAATAATCCCGTTTCACACTGTTGAAGCAGTATTAGAGTTTAATCAGTCAGACGACACAATATATACCGAAATGGTAATAATTTTGTGTGTGTGTGTGACTTTATCTTTTTTAATGAATCAATATTTCATTATGTTAATGCATATTCTCTATAATAGGTGGAATACCTTACATCCATTGGAGGACGAAATCCAAAAGAAATAATACATTTGGCGTTTAAAGAGATTTTTATTACAAATGTAGCCTTATCATTTACATGGACAGGCAAAGATAATAATAACCGCTCTACAATGGAAAAGTTATCGAATCAACGAATAATTGATGCTTTATATGGTATGTCTACGACAAAATTATATTTTATATACAGGGTGTTTCATAAAGATTGTGCCAACGTTCGTGAGCAAATAGGACACAATAAACTGAACAGAAAAGTCCTTTACCACTCTGCAATTTTCACAATATTTATTGAGATATTAATTTAAAAATATTGGCAAATAAGTGCGTTTTGTGCGGCTAGACCGTAGGATGTATGCTCGGGGCGTGTGCCAGTGGCGTGTGTCGCATCTCGTCGCACGGCAACGAAAAATTTGGCCGTGCGACGAGATGCGGGGTACACGCGAGCAGCGAGCGGTAAAACCGTCCGACACGACTCGAACATGCATCTTATAGTCTAATTGCGCGAAACGCGCATTTATTTGCCAATTTATCTTAATTAATATTTTAATAAATATGCGAAAATTGCAAAGTAAAAAAAAAGGACTTTTCTGTTCAGTTTATTATGCTCTACTTGCTCACGAACGTTGGCACAATCTTTATGAAACACCCTGTATATTCAACGACAATAAATTTGCAATAATACTCGTATAAAATTATCTTAATTCAAGCATAAAAAATAAGATTATTACAGTAAAGATCTCGAAAAATGAAGTAATAAAATTATTTAGAATTTTTAATATAATGATTATTTAGATATAAGGTCTTAAATTTGACCCCTTGTAGATCATATTTATACGATCGCTTATTCGTGAATTGCATATGCAATAATATTGGTATCGCATATATGTGATTCACGGATAAGCAACTTTCTAAATGTATAGCCTGTAATTGACTTTAAATTCTTACTTTAAAAAAAATTCTGACTTCAAATTCTTACATCATAAAAATTATTTCTTACACTAAATAACCGCAAATATATACATATGCATATATACTTTTATTGCTTAATTTTTCAAGAGAATGTTGATATTATAAACTTATTGTAGTTGAATTTCGAGATGCTCTATATATAAATGTATATTTCAAAATAAATTTTGTATAAAAAAAATCTATAATAAATTGTAATTAAATCATAGATAATTACTTTAAATATCTGTTAGTTATTTAAAATAAATATTATTATTTTAGATGCTACTTCCGTACATTCAAAATTAACAACGGCTGAGTTTAAATATTATGTATCGGAAGCATTACGCTCAGCTAAACAACGATACCGACATCAACAGCGTATGGATCGAAGAAATTAAAATAAGACGAATAGCGAAGAAGATCTCCGTCAAGTAAATTTTTATTATAAGTTGAAGATTTTCGTTTAAAGTTTAAATGTTGGAAAAAATCTTATTTTATCTACTATAAACTTCATATTGTGATAAAAAAAAGCAATGAATAGAGTTAGTAGAACGTGAGTTTTTTTATTTTATTTTATTTTTTATTATCACATTTATTTTATTATCACATTACTCTTACGCAAAGTTTTATAAAGAAAAGTGAATTCATGCAATTGTAAAAAGAAAAGTGAATTCATGCATATTGTAAAAAAAATTATATGTACTTGGCGTCGCGACGCTCCCGCGTCGCTTGATTAATAAAACGCTAGAATTTATATATACATATATGTTCCTACTTATTTTTAATTAAGTATATATATAGTTTTTTGTTTTATTTTATAAAGAATGCTTTTTTTTCTTTGCGGAATCCCTTTTCTATCCATACGATAGATCCGTTTATATAATAAAATATATTCTTAAATTGCTATATAAAATTTAATATTATGTAAAAACGTATACATGTATTTGCTTATTGTATGTATGCCATTGTGAAAAGTGGTAAATTGTTAAAAATGATTATAATGTAGGTAATGACTACGTTTACATAACAACCGTTAATGCAGTTTAATAGGAACCGTAGTTGTAACTTCTGAAAAGTGATATCCGTTTACACGCAAAGATTTTAATTTAATCACAGATGTTATAACCGAACGGACTTCTGTCAAACAAAGAAATATGGCGAAAATAATAGAAATTTATTTAGTTGGCAATACGAGCGTAACAACTTGAAGTGTTTACACGTTTCTTTAAAACCGGATTTATAATTCTACACTTCTTCGTCAACAGGTGTAGAGTAAGAACAACTGGAGTTATAACACCGGACTAACCTAACGTTTATACATTTTACGTTAGTAATTATAACTACGGTTCTTACTAAACCCGATTAAAGGTGCCGTGTAAATGTAGTCAATGATATAATTATATACAATATTGCATGACTGAAATTGTATGTGTTATAATTTGTACATATATATTTAAAATAATTACACAAATTTTTGAATTTAAAAGGCCAAATAAGAGCCGAACGCGGATGGTGATGCGTAAAGTTTCATAGAAAATTATTTTTCTGCGAAACTAAATTACTGTGCACAAGGCACAATTTTTCTTGGTACATCACCAAGACGATTTAAATAATCTCAGTTTTGAGATTATTTAAATCGTCTTGGTGATGTACCAAGAAAAATTGTGCCTTGTGCACAGTAATTTAGTTTCGCAGAAAAATAATTTTCTATGAAACTTTACGCATCACCATTCGCGTTCGGCTCTTATTTGGCTTTTTAAATTCAAAATTTGTGTGATACACAGTAGAGCCTATATTATTATTTATTTAAAATAATTATATTATATAATTATAACGTGGTATATATGATAGTCTTCAATTGTTTACATATTACTTTTTTTACAGAGACATTATATTTTTATACAATATAAACAAATATATGATATATAACGTTTCTATATATAATATTAAAATTTATATAGTAATTTCAGAGTATATCTAATTTTATTTGAAGCTGCAAAGTTTGCGCGATTTGAGAGTCATATGCACATGCGAGTTGAAAGCGATATGTAGAGACGGCGTCATTATATAATATGTCTTCCTATTTTATATAGTATACATTACGTTTATCGTAACATATTACAGGTTACGTATAAACGTAACGTATACTATATAAAATAGGAAGACATATTATATAATGACGCCGTCTCTACATATCGCTTTCAACTCGCATGTGCATATGACTCTCAAATCGCGCAAACTTTGCAGCATCATATGCAAGCAACAGGCGTACATATCGGTTACTGAGATTGCGCGCAAAATGTGCTAGCGTTTTGCGTACATATCGCTTATTGAGATCGCGCGCAAAGTGTGCTAGCGTTTTGCGTACATATCGCTTATTGAGTTCACGCGCAAAATGTGCTAGCGTTTTGCGTGCATATCGCTTATTGAGATCGCGCGCAAAGTGTGCTAGCGTTTTGCGTACATATCGCTTATTGAGTTCACGCGCAAAATGTGCTAGCGTTTTACTACCGCTATGACGACGCACTGGGATAGGGTTTTGCTTGCGCGATATGAACCATATTTGTGCGCGACTTGCTAGATATTTACGCGCAAAATGTTTTCTGGGTACATTTGACATCTGATTAAGGTTAAAGTACAAAGTATAATGTTTGAGAGATAAAAATAACTAAATTACTAATATTTAGCTCAAAATAACAAATGTTGGAGCAAAAGTCAAATCAATTTATTAATTAATTTATTAATTAATTTTTTTTATCAAATATATTTTACGAATAACTATATATGTATAATACATATACACACATATCAAATGCAACAGTTTGGAATCTTTAATTATGCACTAATCGTTTGTATAATTGGACATTTTTCTAGAAGACTGACAAATTAAATCTGTTTTTCTCATTGTACTATTATTAAAATTATGAAAAATTGAATAAATATTATAATATAGTTTATGCAATAAAATCTAAAACAAGTAATCTGATATAAATTGATTTAATGTAATTATTTAGGTTTTTTATTTTTGGCTATATAATTTAATATTGAGAATAAGCATGTAAAATGTAATTAAATAAGTATAAAATATAATTTAATAAAAGTATAAATATATAAATTATAAATATAAAATATAATTTAATAAAAGTATAAATGTATAAATAAGTATAAAATATAATTTAATAATGACAATAAGCATGTGTAAAAATTACAACGGGAATAAATTGGCTAATATGAAGATATTACATTTGTCAAATAGAGAATCTTTAGAATCTCTATCAAGATTCTAAGTCAATCGATACATTCAACAACATTTTGTCGTATGAATGTAATATCAGCTTTAGGCTGATGGCAGAGAACTAGATGTCTGTCGTAGTCGTGGACGTAAAGTAAGACAGAGAGAAAACGTAAGTCGTACAAGGCCATTGTGACAATGGTCTTATACGACTTACGTTTTCTCTCTGTCTTACTTTACGTCCACGACTACGACAGACATCTAGTTCTCTGCCATCAGCCTTAAGTAGAGAACCTCTAGGAGAGAGAATGGACAACTGATCATGTGACATGTGATCAAGCTTTTTCATGATTGGCTGGCAGAAAATGTATCAATTTTAGCTATTGCGACGCCAATGCAAAATATGATGCACCAAATAAGTTAGGGTGCTTTCCAGCAAGCAACACAGGCGACACTGTGTCGCTACAGTGTCGACACAGGTGCTTTCCAACTACGACACAAGTCGACACAATCGTACACAGCAAAAATGCTGTGTTCGCCTGTGTCGTCGTTTTGTAGCACCCCAGTGAGTGCCAACATAACATTTCATATTTGGTATCATTAATTTTTTTAAGAATGGTATTGCGTGATATTGCGTCCAAAAGACATCAAAAGACGACTTAAAGACATCTAGACGTCTTTAAGACGACATAATGTTGTGTGGGAACGTTCTGAAAATTTAGACCTAGTGACAACTATTAAAAGTGACTGCCCTGCACTCTAGTGGCAAAATAAAAAAGCTAAAAAGCGTTCCAACTACAAGTCGACACTGTGTAACACTGTGTCACACAGTGTATCACTGTGTTACCATAGCTGGAAAGCACCCTTAATATATGTGTGTCCTATTTGTGTGTCATCATATTTTGCATTGGCGTCGCAATAGCTAAAATTGATACATTTTCTGCCAGCCAATCATGAAAAAGCTTGATCAGTTGTCCATTCTCTCTCCTAGAGGTTCTCTAGCCTTAAGCCTATCGCACACAAAATGCATAGAACATAGACATAACATAGCATAAGCATAAAGAAAGAACGCAATCTACACAAATGTGCATAGACATAAGTTTTGGCCAATCAGAATTGAGGAACAATTGAAAATGCGTGTCTCTAACCTATTATTTACAAAAACTCGCGATACGTTCAGCAAATTTGTCAAAATGGACACGGATGATTTGATTTTCACTGCGATAATATCAGCAAGTTATGTTCTTTTACAAAAGCGTAAAAAAGTAAAAAAACGACTATGGATACGACCAATATATGTACGTCGACCACTATTTGGTGATTTTCAACATCTTTTTCAAGAATTGAAAGAAGATGCGACAATGTTTTTTAAATACACAAGAATGAATCTCTTGACTTTTAATAAATTATTGGATATACTGCGACCTATTTCTTTCCATGAGTTATTTTTTTTAATAATATCTTTAAAATCTCTTGATTCCTTATTATAAAGATGCGGATAACCTTTAACAAGATCCACTAATAACGAATCTTCCTCTCTCGAAGTCATTGTATTAATTATTCTGTTCTCACACATATTTTCTTCATTTTCACTTCTTTTCAAATAATAATTATTATGATCTTCCATATTTTAGCTTTATGAATTTTTATTTATTTTCTTTAATGCAGTCTAGCGTGAACATAAATACCACAGACTTCTATAACGGTGGAACTAGGTTGTCATCCTGGCGGGAATTCATGTCTGACATTTGATTGGCTGTACATAGACCATATGCATAAAAATTTCGTTCTTATGGATTTTTTCATTTCTTATGCACATGTTATGCTTATGCTTATGCTATGTTATGTAAATCAATATGGCGACTTAATACTCGATGCTCATTGGTCCATATGGTCTTATGTTATGCACATGCAGCTATGCAATTTCGTGTGCGATAGGCTTTAGGGTCTATCCAGACAAACTTGCATAGATGCATAAGCGTATACATAAGGAATTTGATTGGACTATAAGCAATAAAATAAAGAATTGGACTAATCAAATTCCTTATGCATATGGTTATGCGTCTATGCAAGTTTGTCTGGATAGACCCTTAAGGCCGCAGCACACACTTTTGCATAAGCGCATAATCATAAGCATAAGAAAATTGATTGGTTCATTTTCTTATGCATATATTTGGAGACCAATCAATTTCCTTATGCTTATGGTTATGCTAGAGAACCTCTAGGAGAGAGAATGGACAACTGATCAAGCTTTTTCATGATTGGCTGGCAGAAAATGTATCAATTTTAGCTATTGCGACGCCAATGCAAAATATGATGCACACAAATAGGACACACATGACACACATACAGGGTTGGGCAAAAGTCCGGAAACGGTCAAATATCTCGAAAAGGATCAACTATAGCGAAAAATTGTAAATAGCAAAGTTGTAGGGCTTAAAAAAATGTACCTAATGATGACTAAAAATTTTACTTTGAGTGGAGGACGAAGATCATATAAAAGTCAAATTGAATTTTTTAAATGGAACTGCCTACTTTTTATTGCATATTCTTATAGCTGACCTCGAGAGCTTTCCAAAACACTATAATAAAATATTTTTCCCTCAAGCATTTATCGAGTTATGAGGCTTCAAATCATTTCTTAATTTTACATAAACCGTAAAATATCTTGTAAAATATTCACTTTTCGATTATTTTACCTTAATACTTTTATGTACAAAATAATGAGAGGAATCAATTGGTCTAAAAAAAAACACATAATTGTTCCGAAGAAAAAATATGTAATTGTTAATTGCAAATTACATATTTTTTCTTCGGAACAATTATGTGTTTTTTTTTAGACCAATTGATTCCTCTCATTATTTTGTACATAAAAGTATTAAGGTAAAATAATCGAAAAGTGAATATTTTACAAGATATTTTACGGTTTATGTAAAATTAAGAAATGATTTGAAGCCTCATAACTCGATAAATGCTTGAGGGAAAAATATTTTATTATAGTGTTTTGGAAAGCTCTCGAGGTCAGCTATAAGAATATGCAATAAAAAGTAGGCAGTTCCATTTAAAAAATTCAATTTGACTTTTATATGATCTTCGTCCTCCACTCAAAGTAAAATTTTTAGTCATCATTAGGTACATTTTTTTAAGCCCTACAACTTTGCTATTTACAATTTTTCGCTATAGTTGATCCTTTTCGAGATATTTGACCGTTTCCGGACTTTTGCCCAACCCTGTATGTGTGTCATGTGTGTCCTATTTGTGTGCATCATATTTTGCATTGGCGTCGCAATAGCTAAAATTGATACATTTTCTGCCAGCCAATCATGAAAAAGCTTGATCACATGTCACATGATCAGTTGTCCATTCTCTCTCCTAGAGGTTCTCTAGGTTATGCGCTTATGCAAAAGTGTGTGCTGCGGCCTTTAGGCTTTAGGTTGCTCATCTTTAGATTGCTCATTTTTAGGGACCGACGAGATACTCCAGCCTCTAGCTTTATTGTCGATAACTTGAACTTAACACAAATTTGCAATGCACTGTAGGTAAATAAATCTTTGTATTATCGGTAATATAAAACGCTGCGAGATTTTAAAATAAAATATTTTTGTTATTCTTGAGACGACTAGACATAAAAGATTTATACATTTCCAATAACATATATAACATACATATATAATATATATAATAATAAAACAATAGCTCGATGAGCTAAAATTAAAATTGTGCCCAATTACACTTAATATAAACTTTATATTTATACATATAGATTTACACATAAATATATATTGTATCTATATATTTTGAGGTGTAAAATCTGATTATTGCAATGTCAAAAATTCGGAGAATACGCAAAAAATGATTCAAATAGCTTAAAAATTCTTTATTTTAAATTTACAAAACCGTAAAAAATTTAAAGAGATAGATTTTAAAGCACTTAACATGTAACTTTACATGTAAATAAAAAAATTTTAATTTCCATTAAATTTATAAATACAGCCAAATTTGCATTCTTTTGTGCTCTCGTCCAATATTACGTCAAAAGCTGATCAATCACATCCATTCCTCAGAAGAATGAAATAACTGCGATTGACCAATGATGTCATTAATCGCTCAAGAGGTGTCTATCGGGAACTCTTGCTAAAAATAATATTCAACGCGTTTTGGTACTTTGGAGGAAAGAATGTCGTGTTAGATTCGCGAAATTAGCACGACATTTTTTCGATGTCGATTTTTTAAAGGAATGCGAAACTCTTTTTAATTTTTACCAGGAACTGTATAACTATGAAAAGTGCTATCAGAACTCTTAATATTTTTTTGAAATTCGTAGATTGTCGTGTCAGCTTCACAGACACCTCTCAGAGCAATAAATTTCATCCGAAATATTATCGAATTTTATATGAATGTCAGTCGATGATTAAAAATTAAATATGACAGAAATACGATGTCATAAGTATTTTCAAAATATGAAAAGTAACGGTAAAAGTAACTGTTAAATTCGTTATCGTTACTAAAAAAATGTAATTACGTTATCGTTACAGTTACAGAAAAAAAATGTAACGACGTTATTAATCCGTTACCAAAAAAAAAATGACTATAACGGGGTAACGGTGTTATAAATAACGCGTTACTTCCCAACTCTGTATATACATTACAATTCTCGAAATATGTAGAGTTAAAAAAACAAATCAAATTTGCTTTCGAAACGTAAAAAAGGAGATAACATATTTTGAGTCTTAAAGTACGTAAAAAATGATATCAAAGAATATGTATATCATTATATATGTGCATAATTACACAGAAAAAAAATAAGTGTTAAATCAAAACTTATATACTTAAACAAACGCGTTCATTGTTTTGTATATACGCAACAATTTATAATCTTCTTAGAAGAATTTAATAATTTTAAATTTCAACAATATTATAGTCTTATTTTAATATTGTAATTGTCACCTCAAGAATATATAATTATTTAATTCTACTTTAAGAAAATTATAATCTTTGATTTAAAAATGTTATTTTCTATTTAACATTGTTTCTTTTCCATTCAAGAAAATTAAATTTTAAATCATAAGAGTATATTTTTCTCGATTGAATTATATAACATGGCTTCATTCAAATAAGCAATTATTCAAGTAATTATATTTTTCTTTAATTAACGTAATATAATCTCATTTCAAGATTTTCAACTAAATATGTTTTCAAAACAAGAATGTTTTTTTTCTGTGTATATTTTTACATATCCACATTATATTACGATATTTGTAAAACAAAATGTTAAAAGGTTAAAATTATGAATGTATCTAAAACAAGATATTACGTAATCTTTTAGTTTCGTATTTTAATGTAACATACATATCAGATATTTTGTCAATAAGATATAATTTATAATGTCAATTTTAAAGACATATTTGTCTTTTTTCTAAAAAAAAATGAAGATAAATTTGTGGAATAAATAATAAAGTTAAATAATAGAAAAATATCGAAATAAACTTGGAGATGATGTAATCGTATTAATATGATCATAGTTTAAGGATTTCTGAGTATCTTTAATATCAACCTTTGATACGCAGACATTTTTTCCTTTCATATTTCATTTAGAATTATGTATACGACGTTTATGGTTTTTTTTATACTACATTTTTTTATAATACATTATATCGCAGTCTTTATGCAATAAGAATTTTATTAATATACAAGTTCATTTCCGGAAAACACTCATCATGAATAATTGGAAAAATTGTCTTAGACATTGTCTTAGAAATTGTCTTAGAAATTGTCTTAGAAATTGTCTTAGACATATTATTTTGTATTTTCCATTCTGTCTCATGAATAATAATTGATGCAAAAACATATAATGTTATTTAATATATTGTCTGTCTTGCATCCGTAATAATATCTGTTAATGTGTTTCTCATAAACATTTTTATAAATGTTAAACTTGTCTATAACTTAATAATATAAAAAACGATTTAAAAATTATTTTATTTGTCCTTTAGATATTTTAAAAATGTCTTTTGGCCTTTTTGTGCTATTTAAAATATCAAACTCGATTAATTCTTTCAAAAAATTCATTTATTCGTACATTTTTCAAGAAGAAAATATTCTTTATAAATGTTTGTTCTTCACAGAAGAGTTTGTGACAAAACTTGAAAATGATCGAAATTATATAAAATTACACAAAGAATAAGATTATTTATTTATTATTTATTTGTTTAAGAAATGGAGAAGTTGAGAAAGAATTCTTATAAAACGCTTCGCTTCTTGATACTTTCTCTCTTTATATTTAAAAAAATTCATTTTTTCATATAATATTTATTTATTTATTTATTTATTTCGTCTTATTTATTTATCTCGTCTTATTTACTTATTTCGTCTTATTTATTTATCTCGTCTTCTTATTGTTTTTTTTTGCTTCTGTTCTCTAAATAAGATGCAAATGTGGGAAATAAATAGTAATTTATTTCACAATTTTAGAAAACGAAATAAAAAAGATAAATATATTTTTAGAATACGACGTAATATCATTAAGTAACATGCATAATTAATACTGTAATTAAAAGACGTATTTTTTAAATCTTTGGCAATACATTTTTTTTATCTTGTCTTCTTTTATTTCATTCTTAATTAGAAATGTCATCGTTAAACTCAGGTTTGTCAGGTATACACAAGTACAATTGAGTGTGACCATTATACAAAACAGGTTTTTGTACCAGCCAGTTCGTATAAATAAGATGTGTCTCCATTGAATCTTCAGTATTGTTATTACGAGAGCTGATACAAAAGTAGAGGAAATAATGGCTCGACCAAATTACATCGTAGCAATCATTGTCATTGCATTAACGTGTGTTCTCGCAGAGGAATTCTATTCTAGTCGATATGACGATATCGATGTCCACGCAATTTTCAATAGTACTAAATTGCGAAACCAATATTATAATTGTTTTATGGATGTTTCACCGTGCAAAACAGCTGATTCAAAATTTTTTAAAGGTATATCTGATATATAAGTATATGTAGAATATTTCGCTTTTATATTATTTCTTTATTGCGAATTTTTTAATATTGTAGAATAAATTTTTTTAATAAGTAATAACAGATAAAACAGTTATCCTTTTCAAATATTTAGCGATTAAAAATATAGAATTTTTACTGAATTAAATGTATAAAATGGTAATCAATAACATAACATTTCAGTTAATTTTAAATTAATTTTTACAGATTTTTAATTTTAAATTTGTGTGTGTATGTGATCTTCCACAATTCTGAAATTTAATTATAAATTTAATTTTACATTTCTACATATTATTCATAATAAAATATATTATTTTCTATGTAAATTTTTGAAGAGATGGCTCGTTTCTTAGAATAAGTACAACGGATAAAATTCTAATTAAAATTCTAATTAATTTTTAATCATTTTTCATCCAAATTTTTTTTACAACAAAACTATAAACGTTATCACGTTATTTTCTTAAATATCTTTCTGCATATTTTTATTTTGCGCAATAATTGTTATAAATTTTGTATAATTATTGTATAATAAAAGAGAGCAATTAAAAGCAATAAATATTTTTTTTATTTTGCTTTCAGAGATTTTTGGTGAAGCTGTACAATCTGGCTGTAAGAAATGTACTGAAAAGCAAAAACAAAATATGGAATTTGTACTCGATTGGTATTTAAATAATGACCCCGTTAAACTACAAAATTTCATTGCAAAGAGTATTGAGGATTTACGAAAGAAAAACAGTAAATCATAATTGCTGATGATAAATGCTTAACGGACACAAATAATAAATGTAAAATGGGCAAATAATCATGGAAAATTGCGTATATTACCTGTAAAATTATTGTAAATAATGTTTTATACTTAGAATTCTTTCTATTTAGAAAAGAGAAAAATTTCCTCATTAATATCCCACATAGCATCTATGTTCAAAAGACATTCACAGGACATCTTGAAGATGTCCAATCATCCAAAGATACTTTCTGAATACCTTTGAACGTCTTTTGGATATGCATGTTATATGGGATATTTCATTATAAATATGATATAATGTAGTATTGCATTGTTAAAATAAAATTTATAAAAGCAATTTTAAAATTTAATTTTATTTATTGTATATGTTATAATGTATTATACATTTCAATATGAATCGTGCAGCTTATTTGCAATTTTTTTATTTATAAGAACATATAAAAAAAGATTGCATTACGTTTCAATATAAACACTGTGACAACTTGTTTTGAAATAAAAGAGCAAGCAAAAATAGAACTTTCATTTTAATTCTGAAATATTATTTTATTAAAAAATAGAAAAAAGTAAAATAAAATTCTTAAATATTTTATTTATATAAAACAGAGTACACTCTAGTAAATTTTAATATATTTTACAATAACAATAATTGTAAGAGAAAAGTATTTTACATATATATGCGTCTAAAACATCTATATTGGCGCGTTCGAATCAAAAGTTCCTAATCTCAAAACGAGAAGCCGTAAGTATCCATAAAATGTCAAATGCATACGAATATTTCGTTCGTTTTTATTATGACAAAAACATATCTAATATTTTAAGAGAGAGGAGAACGCGCAAAGAGAGACGAATGAATCTCACGTGTAAATATATACGTGGTGGCTGTCACATTTAGTTGTTCAGCATGAAGATAGCTATTCATCCATTGACAGCTGATCCGACAGCAGCCTGGCGTGAGTTATCTCAGTATCAAAAAGTTGTTAAAATAACTGCTAAATTGCCGACGACCGAGGCACCGAGTGATAAAGTACGTCTAATCATTCTTATCGTTCTGATATTTTTACGCAGAAGGATATATATGTGTGTTAACCTCAAATCCCATTTTATATTTTTTATACGCAGGATTTTTAAATCTCTGGTCTTTACAATTGCTCACATAAATACCATCTATTCCAGCAACGTATATTTAATTTAAAACGATAAATTTTAATTTCCAGTTACGCGTAGTATGTATGAGCGATACACACTCACTCACACCGTTTATAAAATTTGATATACCTGCTGGAGACGTTTTCATCCACGCCGGAGATTTTACGAAATGCGGTAGTTTGCAAGAAGTTATAGAATTCAACAATTGGATAGGTACATTAATCAATTATATTATTATAACTCAATGATCAATAAATTGGAAAAATCTGTAATCGTAAGAATCAGTATTTTTATTCGTTAATAACATCTTGAATTTTTTCATCTAAATCATATAATAAATAATCATATAATAAATAATAATGATATATTATTTATAATTTAGGTAATTTACCACACAAACATAAAATAGTTATAGCTGGCAATCATGAACTTAGCTTTGATCCCACATTTACGCATCCCTTTTCTGTGCATACCAGTGGGGATCATCAGAAACATACTGGAACCAGCATACTTGACAATATACCCACCTTGGGTATGTCAAAAGATACTCTTGCTGAAGCTATTAAAACTACTAATGTTAAAGATTATTTGACAAACTGCACATATTTGGAAGATTCCGAGATTGTAGTACATGGAATCAAGATATATGGCACTCCATGGTAAATACTTTATCAAATTTGTTTTGCTAAAAAACTTGGTAGTGAATAAATGTGCGTAGACTTATTAACATATTAAGTAAGCACCTATGTAATTTGTAATTTAAAAGGTTAAGCTTTTGTCTATAAACACTTTTGTATTGTGTTTTTAGAATATTAGGCAAAAAAATATCATTCATATATTTAGAAATTTTCAATATATATCTTCAATATATATTTTTGTGACTGTACTGTGATATGTTGTAAGAGATGAATCGTCAGAATCATAAAACTATCTTGAACATATTATGAAAAGTATTTGTAAAAAATAGTTTTAAATATGAGAGACTTCTTATTTCTAAAGGATATTTCATTGAAATCTTAGGCAACCAGAATTTTGCAAGTGGGCATTTAACGTGCCACGTGGAGAAGCATGCCTGTCAAAGTGGGAACTGATTCCATCAGATACAGATATCCTTGTAACGCATACTCCTCCTGTAGGTCATGGAGATTTATGCTGTAGCGGAGTACGCGCTGGATGTGTAGAGTTATTGTCGACGGTGCAAAATCGTGTGAAACCCAAATACCATGTATTTGGTCATATACATGAAGGTATAATGAAATCTTAAATATAAAATCCAAATATATACATGTGATAATTATATTTACACGTTTTCTATCTATGTAATTTTATCTTACAGGATATGGCATATCGTCAGACGGCAAAATAATATATATCAATGCATCTACATGTGATATAAATTATCTACCAAGTAACTCACCAATAGTATTTGATATAACATTACCTCCCAGTGTTCAAAAATCATAAATTATTATTAAATTAGATGACACCGACATAAGAGAACACTCTGGACTTTTCTTACGAGCTTGAAAAAAATCTGCATATACCTACATACAATTATATATAGATACAATTACATAGAAAAGTTTCTCTTGCCTTAATTTAAACATGGAATATGTATAAAGTGATACAACATAAGTATTAATTTGTTTTTCTTTTTCATACAATTTGTAATAATTTAATATCTTAATATAATATTAAAAATTTTGTAATCTCTTTCTTTTAAATTATACATTACCTCCTCTTTTTCTTCTGGATACAAATTAAATTTTATAAATAAAAAATTAGTTTTCATTTTTTAAATTTGTAACAAATATATTTTAATATTTCTTATTTAAAAAAGCAAAATATTAATAAAAATATTTATTGAAAAAAATTTTATGGCATCTCAGAGATACATATGCTTCTTTAATAAATATTATTCTATACATTTGTTATATTTAATAGAGTAACAATAACATTTTTTCGTTAAATAAGAAGTTATCTTGAACAAAAAGTTACTATTCTACATCATTAATCATATTAAGCTAAATTATACTAGAGGTTATTTTCTAAATAAAAACAAAACCCACATTACAAACTTTCTTTTTATTGTAATATGGCTGATATATTAAATATTAAATTATAGTCGTATTGAAGAAAAACACGACCAATGCTACTTTCTTATTATCTATTCTTATGATAATCAAAATACAATAATGTCATTTTAACATAATTACGAAAATTTATTTACGTGATTTTAGCATCAATCTAAGAAAAATTGTTCAATGTAAAGATATTACAAATCTAAATTTTTTTAAATACTAGATATCAATCTTAATAATACCTGAATATTATATATGAATTACGTGAATGCGCATTGAGAACATTAAAAAAAAATCATAATTTACAAATATTTTAATCTCTAAAATTATTAGTAATTGTCATTTTAAGAGATCAACCCTTCTTTAACTTTTTCCAGCTGGATAAATGATAAGGATGCTGTAAGTTATATACAGCAAAAGCTGAAATTTTGATCACAACAAAATCCGAGCAAAACAAAGAATTATGTATTTTTTCTGCCTATAGAAATTTGAATGATACTTAAGTTACTAAATTGTAAAGAAAAAAATCAACTTTTATATATATAATATATATCTAAAATCTAATCTAAAAATTTATCAAGATTCACATCGAGTAAAATGTCAAATTTAGTTAGAAAAAATTCATGAAAAAATAGAACATAAATCTCAATTTGAAATAGGAAGATTTTCATCTAATACGGTACATTTGAAAACAGATATGATACAGATTCACCATTATGTGTCCGCCTTACAGCTTCAGCAAACATCATCGATACATCAATGCACTGAAAGATAAAATCAATTAGACATATTAAATCAAGCTATATTATAATTAAATTAATTTCTACAATTATTATCATTGTTATCGCATTAAGACAAGCATTTTATATGATTTCTCGAATGACGGTTACCTGAATCTTTGGGCAATCTTTCATATGACCATCTTGGGGAATAGTATTAGTCACTACCACAGCCTCGAAGCATGCATTATTAATCCTACTAATTGCCGGGCCACTAAATATACCATGCGTAAGTATTGCGTAAACTTTTGTGGCACCAGCTTCCAATAGCTTTTCCGCCGCATGACAGATAGTGCCGCAGGTATCGGCCATATCATCTACGAGGATCGCAACTCTGTCTTTGACGTCTCCGACCAATACCATACTGGCGACTTCATTCGCCTTTTTCCTTTCTTTATGTATAAGCGCAAACTCGACATTTAATCGATCCGCGATGGATGTGACTCTGTAAAATAAAAAATAATATCTTCGATTAGAATTTCTTCTCTTCCCTCCCTCCCCTCTTCCTCGATTATTACTTACCTCTTGGCGCCGCCCGCATCAGGGGAAACAATGATACTATTTCGCCATTCAACAATATTCTCCTTAATCCATTTGAGGACAGCTGGCTCGGCAAATAAATTATCTACCGGGATATCAAAGAATCCTTGTATTTGACTAGCGTGCAAGTCCATTGTGATAATGTGATCAGCACCCGCTACGGAAAGCATATTCGCCACTAGCTTCGCAGAGATTGGCGCGCGACTCTGTAAAACACATTTCGATAAGATAAGTTTTGAGAATTCTGGACGAGTCCTTCAAGTCCATTTGCAACTGGAAAAAGCCTGCAATTTAAAGAAATTGCTATTAAAATCTCATAAAAGCACGCCAAAAACATTATGAGAAATTGAAAAAAGTTACAAGTCCCGGTCTGTTTGCTATCTTTGAACAAAAATTTCACAGGATACAACATTAATTTATTTCGACTGCCTATGAGTGCTTTTTTTTAAAAGATACAAGATTTAATTTTTACTAAATAAAACTGAAAATAAATTGCCGAAAGAGTTCTCCTTTTTTTCAGAGGGGACAAAATATGAATACAATGGCCACGTAATAAAATATAATTTTTGTCTTACAAGATATACATTTATAGAAAATCAATTTTGACAGAGAAACAACGTTGCAAATGCACCCCAGTTAGACTCAAAATAACTATTGTAAGTAAAGCAAAATATCTAAAATTATGAACGCAAAACCACGAAACACAATGCATCTCGGTCCCTTACCCTCAGCAAAGGATGGTATGAAATGAACAAGAGGGCAAACATTTGTAATAGACATATTTAAATTACCACAATATAAAAATAGATTTTAATAAATAAATATATCAATATATCGCGAGTGCATATCTCTAACATTGTGTGCAAAATTATATAAGAGAGAATTTATAATTGTAATTTAAAGTATATCCATATTAGTACATTGTCTCAAGTAAAGAAATGCATTGTGCAAATGGAATATTTTTGACAAATCACTTGTGATAAATGAGTGTTATACATAAAGTTTACAAAAGACCATTAATAATCATTTCAAGGTATCTTTTCACAATTGCTATATTGAAAGGACAAGTTATTACGAAAAAAAAAAACACATTGACACATTCCTACACTATTTAAGCATTAATAAGGATGGGCGATACTTGATTAGTGCACTCGGACAATAACACCGATTTAAGCCTCAATAATTAGTACCCAATGAAACATACATGTACCCCATTATACTATACTAATTAAACAATGTACTGCGAGTGTACTGCTATTATATTAATATTTTGCCCTCTCATTCGGATATCAATATGCTTTGACCAAATGTTTCATTCATTCATTCATTCACGGGGATACCAATGTGCTGTATAGCAACGATATTATATAAGTTTGGTTAGTCCTACAAAGAAAATTTTTGTCTTAATCTCAAAAAATCAATATTACAAATCGAATAATTCATCGAGTTATCATTACAAACGCCGCACTCGACAATCTCGTTGCTATTATACTCACTGTAGACAGGTCGGGCAGAATATCCTGAAAATACCCAACTATTCAGAATCTTAAAAATATATATACAAGTTTTCTTTTCTAATAAACATTATAGTCAATGATGTTTCTTATCTTTTTACTTTGTAGAATAATTTAAAAATATAATAAATGTGACACAGCGCGCTGATAACTGTCTAACAACTGTTCCAAAATTATAGAACTTTTTTTTTAAGGTTTTCCTTATATATATTAATCTCATGCAATATCCAATTAATATTTGAGAGATGCCCATTTTTGTTGTAATAATTAATATATAAAAATATCATGCAATTAAATATATTAATTTAAATAAATTTTTAAATAAAATTAATAAATTAAATTTATATATATATATATATAAGAAATTTCATTTGTGATATATTTAATATGTACATTGTACATTAATGTATACATTGGCCAGATAAGACATATCAGAGATTGATAAAATATATATAGGTTTCATTGTTGTTGACACAATAACCAAAATGTGCATCCAAGACCCCCCTCAGAGAAATCTAGCACGAGTTTTGCAATCCATCCGTTATCCAAACGGGTTATCTAACGTCTGATAACCTTATATTATTATTGAACAACATGCTTGAAATGTATGTATTTGCAGTGCTCAGATCTAAAACATTTCCTATTTCTTGTTACAAACATCTTATCATGATTGTGGTAATGATTGTGGTAATAAATTGCTAAAAATTATACTTCTATGCTTAATATATAATGTTACAATTATCTACATTTTTATCAGTATTTCAAAGTGATATGTACATATTAAAAGCAATAAATATTTGTTTCAAAACAAAATTTTGATGACGCAAATGTGATTTAACATGATTTATAGAAACTTGTGTAACTCATGCTTGATTTGTACAATTTTTAGATAGTTATATAAATGATATAATTCATTTATAATAATAATTTTGATGTAACTTTTATATAATATTGAATACAATATTGAAATATTATTATAAATCTCACATATTATAATTAACATATAATTGTTATTATTTAATTCTGTATATGTATATAATCAAATTATATTCATTTCATAATTTCAAAAAAATGATATCTTTTATACACTTTATGTATCTAATTAATTTTTTCAGTTGTATATCATTTATATAAAAGCTATCTATTCATATAACATGAAATCATTTGACACTTTATAAATCGTAAATCGAGACAACTAATATAATATATCTATGATATATCTATTTCCACAAAAGATTAATGTCTCTATTAATTATAATTTTGCCTATCAGAAAAGCAAAAATATATCCCTGAAGAATATAAAAAAAGAAATTATGACAATCAACAAATGATGTCCAGAATGAAAGTCCAGTAATATATATGTGTATCTCTCTCCTATCTGGTGCAGCCCAATGATGTAAAGCCGGCAGAATATAAGCATATTTTATATATGACAATGAAATCAAGTTTTGCATTCCAAAAATGATCACTCCACTGGTCTGTTAAAAGCTATGAGAGAGAGATAAAAAAATATAACAGATAAAAAGGGACCACCGCAAGTTACCCTGAATTTCCACTCGTTCGACTTCATGATAATTTGATTTTTAGAGTCTCCAGCATCATTGCCCTGTGAAGATACATTAAAGAAATATAGCTTCTTCTTCAAGACAACGTTTCCTCCTCATTATTTTTGCCGCGTTATCTTTACTAACAAAGCATAGATTTTAAGATAATATTAAATAGAACAAACTGAAAACATATTTTACAAAAGACATAGATTTTTGTGTATTTATATATAATATTATAAATACATTGTTGCGCCTGTATTATATACATTAGAAAAATTGCAGCATCTTTTTAAATAAGAAATATAAAATAAAAGAATGGAAATTTTATGTGTATATTAAATATATATATATATATATATATATATATATATATATCAATTACCTATATATTCATAAAACACACTCAAATTTTGTTAAAAAAAATTATTGCACAATTTTATGTTTTATTTTTAACAACAATGTCTAATCTTTAGATACTGTGCAAGTGTGGAAATTAATGGAATTAATATCTATTTATTCATGTGTAGAGACTATGATTGCAGATATTATTTGTTGAATTAATATATATTACTAATGATTTTTATTGCAAGAATCATTGTAGCTAAATATTTAGATATATAGATGCATTTACATATTGATAAATTATATAAAATATATTATTATTTTACAAAGATATTTGCAATAGAAGTATCATTTTTAAAAGCATTTTGAGAATAAAATTTTCCACACGATCACAAATACAGATATATAATACACATATCGCATGTACATTTGCTAATTATTATTTCATATATTATAATTTTAAATGGCTCATTATATATTGTCGGCATAATCTAAATGTAAAAAATATAAGTATATACATTAAAGAACCAAATGATAATTTATGAAAAAAATATATAATACTTTAATATATTAATCTAAAAATTATTAATTTATTGATATGTCTATTTATATCTGAGATACAAAGAGAGAGTACAAGACAAAAGTAATTGAAACAAATAAATTAAAATTGACTCGTTTTTCCTCTCTCTTTCTCTAGAAAAATCTATGAAAGAATATTTAGACTGGTATAAGAAATTGTCAAGGACTGATATGTGATTAAATATGACTGAAATAGGACTGATATTGTGATTAAAGTGCATTATTCATAATAATTATAAAAAATTTACTTTTATTTGGCTTTTTACTCGAGTCTTCTTCAGTTAAAACTTTGTCACAAATGTATTTTAAACACTATCATATCAACATCAGTGCTCAATGATAGTTTCTAGTAGCCTAAATACCCTTATTTAAAAATAACTGACCTATGTAAATCTACATAATAAAAAATTAGAATCACTTAATTAATTTGTACATACTATATCTATTTTCCTAAACTACTTGAAGCGTAAATCTAATTAGACAAATAATCATCATTCTACCCCCTTCTCCTACCTTGTCTTTTTTATCCTGCCTTGCATAAGGAAAACAAGGAATGACTGCAGTCACCCGGGATGCGGAGGCAATTTTGCAGGCGTTGATCATAATCAGGAGCTCCATTAGATTATCGTTCACCTCGCCGCTTCCACTTTGTACGATATACACATCCTCGCCACGGACAGATTCTCCTATCTCCACACTAGGTGCGATTAAATCACGTGTTACTCTCTCCAATATACGATATAAAGCATATTACATAAGCAAGGTGTAAATTTAAAATTTCCAGGAGTCAGAGAAAGCGAGATAAAAATAACGTTATTATCGCGTCTATCGAGATTATCTCCGACAAATGAGGGAAAAAAAAATTCGTATTAATATTTCAATAATTAATGCGTACTACTGGGCGCTCGCGGAGAGCGATTACGAAACTTTTCTCATTCAACATTTCTACGACACAGCGTATTTCGATCTCGCGTATCGTTCACGAGACACCGTCTTTACAGGCGCATCAGCATTTTTACAGCCTGGATGGACGATTACAACATCGCGACGAGCGCACGTGCTTTCGTCTCCGTATCGAGATATTACGGCGCGAATCGATACTTGCGGGCATCGAGTTAAAGGCGAACCGGAATTTTTGCGGAGCGCGTGTTCTCGCCCGCCGACGAGGGTAATCGGCGGGATGTGTGAAAGTGAGAACGCGGGGCCGCGAAACGCGACGAGGCTCGCACGAGGGGCCCGATCGTGCGGAAAATACGCGATTCGCGCGCGATGACATGTCGCGGTTACGTCGCCAGGGCCTCGTGCAATTGGCTGGTATACTCAACGCGGTTGGCGGCGGGAGCGAGCCATTACCATGTCTCGAGGTTGCTGAATTTCTTGGTGACAACCTTGCCGATGTCGATGCCGAGCCGATCCACGATCCGCTGGGCGAGATCCGGATGCGAGGTCCCGCTGAAGACCTTGATGTTCGGCATTCTGCTCTGCAGGCCACGCACGCGTGAATTCTCCAAGTTTGCGCGTAACAAACTCTTGGCACGCACTGCCTGCGACACGGGCATCACTGAAACAGAAAGCACCGGGACGCTCGGCCAATCGCTGCTCGCCGCTCGGTACCGGACGTGACGTCGCGCGGGCTATGCTCCGCCTCCGCGCGCTCGCCCGTCCCGACCCCCGCGCGCCTCACTCGCCCCGCTCCCCGCGCGCGCTCGCCCTCCCCGCGGGGGGGGTGCCTTCGCGTTCCTCAGAACGCTGACGAGAATTTTCGTTATCTCTCCGATAAAGCGCGATAAAAACGGACTTACGTATGTCGCGCGGATGGGCACCGTCGATCATGGACATGTACTTCCGGTTCGAGCGCGCGCGCCTCGCTCCGTCACTCGCGAAGGGCTCGTCGTCAATGATCGATAAAGCGACGCGAGTCGCTTTTGCGTCTTTCGCGCGCTCTCTGTCTCTCTCTCTATCGCTTTTTCGCTCGTCGGATTCTCTTTTCTTTTTTATTTACGCGCGCGTTTCCGCCCCCCGACTCTGGTGACACTTCGGTCGCGCACGTGTTTCCGCTCCTCCCTCCCTCCCCCCCGTCGGGTATCCTACTCGACGATAGCGTACTCGAACTTCGCGTACTTTGCTTATTTATTTTTTTCCCTTTTTAACCCTATTCGAAATATTTGACGCGCGAGGAATTGGGGTCATTATCTCCTCACTCGTTTAGTTTGTGGAACGTACGAGGATTCCGTATTCTAAACGTCGTAGTCTTACATTATCGCGTATCAATCTTGATAAGTCGAGACGACGGACTATCGTCGAGAAAACTTACCCCATTCCCTTCCCTAGGGTTACCTCTAGATACGCGACCGTATCTCTAGATGGGTATTTATCGATTGGCGCGTTCGCATGAGGCCGTCAAGGTGTTATCGCATATATACAGGATGTTCCAGACTTAATGAATCAGCTGTTAATGATAGATTCTTGAGATCATTTGGAGGCGAAAATTCTAAAACCAAAATGTTGAGGAAGACTTCATAAAAATGTCGAAACTACTGACTATTGTCGAGGAAAACACAATCGCGCTCACTATAAAATCCTATTTTTTATTCTATATTCATCCCTTTATCGATATCGATATTATCGCGCTGTACGCGGGCCCCTTGATACGCTACAGGAGAACGTAACGCTTTGATTGGTAATCTTTAATCTTTTATAGCGCCGAAACTACATCTTCCTTAACATTTTGGTATTAAGATTTTCGTTTCCAAATGGCCTCAGGAATCTACCATTAGCGGCTGATTCGTCAAGTCCGGGACACCCTGTGTATCGGCGAAAATTCGGCGCCGTCGCGACGTGAGCCCAGACAAAATTCAAAAGGAGCGGGCGCGAGAACGAGTGACAGTCGACTTTTGCTACGATTATCAAATGGCGCCGGCGACACTGATCGCAACGATGGTAAATTGCATGTGTATGTAACGCAGCGTGAGTCTCTCTCTATCGATATCGATATTATCGCGCTGTACGCGGGTTCCTTGATACGCTATAGGAGAACGTAACGCTTTGATTGGTAATCTTTAATCTTTTATAGTGCCGAAACTACATCTTCCTCAACATTTTGGTATTAAGATTTTCGTTTCCAAATGGCCTCAGGAATCTACCATTAGCGGCTGACTCGTCAAGTCCGGGACACCCTGTGTATCGGCGAAAATTTGGCGCCGTCGCGACGTGAGCCCAGACAAAATTCAAAAGGAGCGGGCGCGAGAACGAGTGACAGTCGACTTTTGCTACGATTATCAAATGGCGCCGGCGGCGCTGATCGCAACGATGGTAAATTGCATGTGTATGTAACGCGGCGTGAGTCTCTCGATACGGGATACTAGGAACGGGTTAGGAACGGACCTCGGGCGAAGGCTGTTGACGGGGGTGACGGGCAAAATTCACTCGCGGGCCATCAGGTTACGAGCACCGCGCCGCGATAAATAAAATTAAGCCTTGCATGCCGCGACGCTGAGCTCCTCGAGGGACGCGGGATCCACGAGAGAGCGTTTGTTCATTCGCGAGCGACAATGACATCGTGCTAACTGTCCCTAGCGATTCCGAAGCCATGGCGAACATCGCGGCGCAGCGAATCAAACGGGAATTCAAAGAGGTTATAAAGAGCGAGGAGGTGAGTGAGTGAAAAATCGCGGGTTGAGGAAGAGGGAGCGACCCAGGGTTCTCGTTAAACGGCGGCGAAAAGCCCGTATCACGGTTATGCAATCTCCCCAACCGGGAAAGATGCGATGAAAATGTCATCCGCGTCCATTGGTTCGAGTACCAGTCCGGGTAGACAAATCGCCGATCATCTGTTGTGCCCCGTCTTATCAACTGTCATCTATATTTGTTATTTCTTTCGAGAAAAGATGATTGGAGGGAGAAAGAGAGCGACGCGAGCCGGACATAGGTTGTCTGTTGCGTGCAAAATACCTCGTTGTGTTCCTGTTACTTTGTTGGAATCAATTAAGTTTCTACTTCTATTTCTTAGATTGTTTCGTGTCAACAAAGCGCCAATAATTATACTCGTCGTGACATGTATCAATGTTTAGGACGCGATAATCTTGTCAACAAACTAATTAAACTAATGAGTATGCACTCACCATGATGTCTAAAGTCTCGGCTGCATTGGGGTCCTTTGCACCTTTTCAAATTGCTCATTCTGTATTCACATGAAAGTTTGTTGCGATAAAATGATCCACATGTGATGTATCCACATGTCTCTTCAGCAAGTTGAATTATGTCAAGACATCAGCAATGCCATGATTTTGTGAAATATCAGTAATTGAGATTTCCCTTATCATGCTAAATGTCAAAGGTTATGATCACATGTTTATTTTGAAAATAATGACGTAGAATCAAACACAAACTTTACGTAGGAGCATAGTTTGGCAATATGTTTATGAAGCTCTCATAAGTTTTCCTCCATGTTGCAATGATATGTAACTATTTTTTATATTTATCTGACTGGAAAACAGATGATTGAGAAACAAGTGTCATATATGTGTATATTGAAACTGTCCAAAACATTCCATTGCTTCGATTGTTTTTATATTCATAAAGATATCATTTCCATTTTTATTAATTTTTATAGCAACATATATTAATTATCTAGAAACCTTAAATTAGTTATAAATTTTTGGAATTGCTGTTTACGCAATATAATTAATCTTGTAATGTATTTTTATGTTTCAAATATATGTATGTAAAACAGAATCTTAATCATTTCTTTTATATTCAACAGTTTTATAGTTCATAATAATATAATAATTATTTTGTTTATTACATTTTTGTTGCTATCTAATATATTTATATTTATTCTTTAGTAAAAAAAGCAGCCTATATAAATTCAATTTATTCCCATAATATAATATATATTTTAAACTATTTTTGATCATGTTAACAAACATGCAAATGTGATAAAACATTTTAATATTCCAAATTACTATATATATATAAAACTAATATTTTTCTAGCAACTTGATTTTCTAATACTTTATTTATTTGATGTTTGTAATAGATAGCAAAATGTGCGATTAAAGTTGAATTGGTCAACGATAGTCTTACTGAATTAAAGGGTGAAATTGCCGGCCCACCAGATACGCCATATGAAGGAGGTAATTTTGTGCTCGAAATTAAAGTTCCCGAGACATATCCATTCAATCCTCCCAAAGTAAGTTAATATTTTTGAAGGATCTGTAAATAATATTTGTACAGTAAACATTCGTTATTTTTATCTTATAAGTAAAAGAAATTAAATAATTATAACACAAAAATCGTGAAATTATATCTATTATTGAATTATTTATTATGATATCAAGCCATAGTTATTATTTTGATTCCATATAAAAATCACTAGTGTGAATTTATATATCATTATCGTCTCTAAATTTTAATTTCTATTTTATTCTATTATAATCAATTATTATAATAAAATAGTAACATTATTTTTTTTTTGAAAGTGTTAATGTAATTTAAAAAATATTTTACATTACATAAATAATAAAATTCTTATTTTGTAGGTACGTTTCATAACAAAAATATGGCATCCTAATATATCTTCTGTCACTGGTGCTATTTGTTTGGATATTTTAAAAGATCAATGGCATGTATTTTCATCAAATTAAATTTAAAAAAATATAAATCAATTATTTTTGCTCTGTCTTATCAGTTCTTATGTTGAATAAAAATATTATATTTCTTAGTATAATATTTTTTTGTATATTTTATATAATATTAAGACTACATTACAATTATATAATAGACTAACTTTATTTTTACTTTCATATTTAAGGGCTGCTGCAATGACTCTGCGCACGGTATTATTGTCGCTACAAGCATTGTTATCTGCAGCAGAGCCTGATGATCCTCAGGATGCAGTAGTCGCTAAACAATATAAGGAACATCCCGAAATGTTTCGTCAAACTGCCACACATTGGACATTTGTATATGCAGGTGGTACGTGATATATTTCTGCATATACATTTATATATATATAGTATTAGAATTTAAATATAAGTTATATCCATTTCAGGACCAGCAAAAATGCCTGATTTAGATGACAAGATAAGAAGATTAACAGATATGGGAATTGAAGAACATAATGCGAGAGTTGCTCTATCTTCATATAATTGGGACTTGGAACGTGCTACTGAGCACTGCCTCTTCAGTTAGTGATAACTACATAGCTAATATGTTACATCCAAGCACCACTCATTTTGTCATTAAGAAATTCTTGTAATAACCATGTTCGGATATTGATATTATTAGTGATTTGACAATTGGTATTTTGCACCTACAGTGACAATATCTGATAAAAAAATCACCAGGAAAGCATTCAATATCCACCAATAGTCATTTATTTAATTTATAATATAGGCATGAGACATAATTAATAAAAAAATCATAATATGAATCAGTTAAATAAATTTCAAGTATTTTTTAATAATACATTGTTTTACATTTTGCTAAAATTCCACATTATTGCTTAACAAAATAAAATCTGTTAAATATAACATGTGAGATACCAAATTTAAAATAATATATTTTTAATTCCTTGTATATATATATAAGAATAGTATGCCACAAATTTATATAAATGCATATTATTTCTTTTACATATTTTATTAACTTTTTCTTTTTTCAGCTTTCAATGTTCTGCATTATCTTACTGATCTTGATATCTTGTATCTATAAATTTTGAGCTTATTAGTGTATTGAGCGTATTAAGGATATTGAATTGTCAGTCAAATTTACATATGTATTCTCATGGTACTGGATATATTTCAAATGTATAATTAGATATTTCAATTGCAATTTTTGTAATTATTTTATTTTTGTAATTTATGTTTACTGTCAATAATGCAAATTTTGCTGATAAACTGCATGCTTGTCTGCATTATCCATTTATAGTCTTAATGCAGATAATATATTACAACAAACATAATGTATTATTTTTCTTTTTTGTTTTTAATATAGAATTCATATTAATTGCAATTTTTGCGATATTATTAAATCCTTTTTTTATGTGCAGAAAACTTCTTTTATTTAAGGTTTAAAAAAATAAGATTTAAGAAAAAGCTATAATTTGAGCAAAAACCTATTGTATATTATTGAGATTAGTACATGACTTGTAAAAATATTCACTTAATCACTTTGTTAATATCTTACATTTGTACATTTCTGGTGTTGGCTTACATGAGATGGTGGAAATTATATCACAGATATTTACGTGTTTGCGGGTATATATACCTATCATTCTTTTTATATTCGTATCATGCAGTGTACATTCCAGATTCAGGCATAAGTGGCATTTATTTATCAATCTTTAAATTTTATATTACAAAGCTCAAAAAAGAATAAGATTCAGAAAGATTGAGATAAATTAGCATGTTGCTTCTGATCTTTATATTCAATAAAAAAAAATAGATGATTTAATTTGATAACTTGTGTATGTGTAAAAAATTACAAAGCAAGAGATACAGCATAGCTAGAAGATAAAGATGAAAATTTAATTAGCTCATTATTTGTATAATAATGTATATGATGCAGAAGTGCATAGTTTTTTGTACAATCAAATGTTAAATCATGTGTGTTATATTAGGAAGGGATAGACATTTAATTATATCTCTGCTATATAATTTGTTGTATTAATTTTCATATAGACTGTTAGAAATTATAGATATCAGTCGATTGTATAAAGACTGTTTTGCTCTTTATCTTTTAAATTTCAGCTTATAGAATATGATTCTACATATGAGTTTATGGATGAAATCCGTTTTCATCTTTTATAATGTTTTAATCGCTGTAATGTTCAATATGATGAAAAAATAAATAGTTCTTTTTTTTCATTGTTCTAACTTTGTAACTAGTCTCTTTATACATATAGAGGAACTTCTTTTTATCATGTATATATAAAATTTCCTAAAAAAATATTAGGATGAGTTTTTTTATATTATTCTCATTTCAATATATAGTCATTTCTCTCCTTTTTTGTTAATAGAAAATAAAATGTGTAGTTTTTCATTCTTCTATTATCATTTAGTACTAAATTTTATAAAATGTATCACATAATAGTACAAGAAGTTGAATATGGATTTCTCTCAAAATTTTTGTATAATAGTCTATATATGTATAAAATGGTAGATAAAAATGTTTCTGTATAAAGTTACTACTGCATAATTTTTAATTCTCGAATTAAAAATATTTTTCCTGCTAAAAACATTGTTAAATTTAATTTCAAACGTGCATATACAGATATGACCTATTATTGTACAAAAACGGAATAAACTAATAGAATATAATGAATTTAATCTTATTAGGAAGAACATGCAAAATGCGAAAATTTTTTGTGAAAAATTTCTTAAAATATAAGAATGACATAATTAAGACGCTCTTTCTTTCTCTCTCTCTCTCTCTCTCTCTCTCTCATTTTTGCAACATTTAATTTTTAAGTCCTAATATATATACAATTTATGTATAATTGTCTCATACATAAATATTTATAAAAAATAATTACAATTTATAAGAAAAATTTTATAAATTTTAAACAAAGAAGCATAATATTCTTAAATTATAATGATATATAAATCTAAATAATTTTTAAGTTAATCCGAAAATTGTGAGAATTATAAGTATCTTTCTACAAGTATATATTTTATAAAATTCCAATTAAATCAAAGAATTCCAAATATAATGTGATGCATTGTGTGTAAAATAATAAAAATTATAGTTATAAATAAATTTTAGGTATATATTTGTCTTCTCAATAAATTAAAGAGTTTTGTGTATTATTACAGTTTAAAAAAAAGTATATTTTTAACAATTCAATCTGCTTTAATATCAAAGAGACAATTATGTCTCACGCAAAGTATCACACGCAATAATTGGCGAGACAAACCATATAGTATATTTGTACTTTATGTTAGTTGTCCATAATTATATAATCTAAGTCTTTTTGCAGAAAGTGTTGCTAAAAATAAATAATTGTTAGCTTCAAACGAACATAGATCCATAACAGCATCTGATACGGGAAGATTATGCAATTGTTTGCCATTTGCTGTACTCCATAATGATATATTACTACTTGATTCTATATGTGCTGCAACTAATGTGTCGTTTTCTGCATATAAGTAACATGGTCGAGATAAAAGTTGTTGAGAATTGCCGGCTTGGAATGTATGTACAGTATTACACATAATTACTTCTTCGTTAGATAAATTTTTTCCAATAGTACACACTACATGTCTTGCGTGTGGTTGCCTAGCATTAGGACGAGACGATATCAAACAATGATGATTTCTCTTGTCATAACGTACTGAAACAAAAGGACCCTCTAAAAAGATCTGCTTGGGTAAATATATGCTGTCTTTAATCTCATATGCATAACACGTATGAAAACGGCACGCTATAAATCCACCCCTACTGATACCGCTATCAGGATTCGGTGGTACTGTTGCCATTGATACAACTGGCGACCTGTCACCATGACCATCTAGGACATTAACAGCACCAGAAGTTTGTCTGATATCAAATTGAGTGATGGATCCATTTTGTGCACCAGTTAGGAAAATATGTGGGTTGTCACCTGACCAACAACAACTCCAAAGTTGATGATCTGTTTGATATGTGTGCACTGTCATATTATTCTGGATATCCATTAGTTTTGCACATTTATCAAAACCGACACTGAGAAGGAGCATTTGTTGCGAAGAATGAAAAGTTACATCTCTTATAGCCTGAGTGTGTAAGAAAATAAATTGCCGTGAATGGAAATATTCACAATCAATTTTCCTTATGCCATATCCATTGAACAGCATGTTTGTTGATTTCTGAGAAACAGCCAAAATATTGTGCCATCGATTAAAATCTAATACACGACATCCACCCTCTTTGCAGATCTCTATAGATCGTTCCAGGTGAAATTTTTTAATCGAGAGATCCAAAATATGATAATCTTGATTCTCATGAACATCCATCTCTAATTGTTGATTTTCCAGTTCGGAAATACGTTTCTTCATACAAGCCATTTGCTGGTCAAATACTTTCATACGGATATCATACTGTGATAATTCCATTTGTATACGGTTCTTTTCAGCTGTTACATGAAGTAATTCATTCTTTAGTTTATCATATTCTGCAGTATCTATTGCTGTTAGTTTCTTTGCATATAACATTCTAATTTGTTTTACTGAAGCCTTCTTGTTGCATTGTGGACAACGACGATTTGTACTGTTACAAGAATGTTGTAGCCATCTCAGAATACAACTGTGTCCAAACAAATGTCCGCAGCGTAAACAACACAAGCGGTGTTCCCCTGAGCTTGTCCATTGCTCCATGCAAATTGGACATGCTTGATCAGAGTCTACATCCGAGACATCCAAATTTGGATCTACTGTATTTGCTGTGAATTTAATCATATTTAAATGAAAATACAGATATGTATAACTATATCTAACAAATATTAACTTTATAACATGATTATTCAAACATACTTGATTTCAAACTGTTAGTTGGATCATCATTTTTATCGTCATCTTGCATGTTATTTTCTTCATTATAAGAAATGCGTTCATCTTCATGTTCATCCTCTGCAGTTTGTTGCTCTTCTATTTGCATTGAATTTTCGTCTATAATATTATCATAATTGATGGATGATTAATGAAATTTAATGGAATTTGATTTTAAATAGAAAATATTAAAAATAGAAAGATAGAAAAAGATATCATTTGTCTTTAAATTATATAATTATTAGTTATAATTATTACTTACGTGTACAGAATAATTATTAATGTACATACATACTTTCATTTATACATATTAATGTTATTTATTTCACTTACTGTTTTCCATAACCTTTATCTTGTAATCGAGATTGATGACATAAACATTGGCATAAAAAAGTGAGCCGGTTGTAAGATATTTAGAAAGATAAGAATGGAGAAATCAAATTAATTAATTATAATCAATTTTTTCTTTAAGATTTTGTTCCTTAATTTTTATTCAAGTGGTCAGAATGCATTGGATATACTCCACTTTTTAACCAATAGTGCGTCACATGTGAATGAAAGGTTGTGTTCCGATATTTACTGCCAGTACTGAAAATCTATAGTTTACGTTACATATATTATAGATTTTCAGAACTGACAGTTTATATCAGAACGTAGCCTTTAGCACATCTTTTTTAAGAAATAGAATATATTTAAAAAGGAAAAAAAAGAATAATTTTAAAGAAATAGAATATAATAAATATTTAAAAAGGAAAAAAAGATTGAAAATTGATTGACATAAACAATAATGTTAAATAAGAAAATAATAAGAATATAAATTATTGTATGAAAAGATGGAATTACATTTAAAATGGTTCGAAAATTTCTCTTTAAAATTCTCTATCTTTCACTATCTTTTTCTATTTTTTCTTTTTCTATTCTCCTTACTATTTTTCAAAAGACAGATTTTTTTATCGATTTATTAGTGATATAATATTATTTAATGATATAATATTGATATAAATTTATTAATTGCTACAGAAAGAGAGAGAGATATATATCATCAGGTATATCTCGAATCTCGAGGAATAAAATAAAAATAATTGACGTACGCATTGTGCGTGTTCAACGAAAAGAATTTCGAAATATTTTGAAGTGAGTAAAATATATGATGACATTACTTACATGATATTTAATTTCTTTTTATATTTAATATATTTTACAATCCCTTTCTTTCTGGTAAAGTCACGCAAAAATACTTTCCAAGTATATTCAAATTATCTCTCTTGGACAATTTGACAGTATAATATAACTTTATCACACACGAAGTACCGAAGAATTTATAGGCTTCTCGCACTATACATACATTATATTTTGTGAGATCAATCAAAGAACGGTTTTAATTTGAAGGTAAAAATATGAAGGTAAAATTAACGTTTTTGAATAAAATATTTGTGTTTTTTTACATGAAAATATGTGATTAATCTTAAAAATCTGTATATGTGATGTCTTATGTCAGAATACATCAAACTTCTTATGACATATCTTGCAACATGTTTACAATATATTCTAATTACTCTAAAGAATATAAAATAAATTTTCTTAGTGTTATTATATTGTAATATTTTAATATTTTAATCATATCACATAATTATTACGTACATTAAAAATATATGTATATAATATATATATTTTAAATTATTTTACGTATATATATATATAAATGTTATGAAAATATAATTATTAATATAAAAAATATTATAAGATATAAGATTACAAAATGTTTCTGAAACTGATCAAAACTCTGTGTTGCAGAAACGACGACCGCATATAAAAAGTTATTCCCCTTCGCAAAAGTATTCTCATACACACGAACGTTTTCCGATTAAGGCGAGAAGCACTTACGATTCGAAGGGACGACATTCTAAACGGAGCTATTCAGAACTTCAACAAAACAATAAATATTATGGCACTACATCATGCTTGAAAGAAGACGCGTTTGGTTCGCTGGAATCTCTCTTCGACTTAAAAAAATCTTTGAATTTGCGTGATGCGTATCCATTAGCGTTCAATATCTGTAATGAAAAATTATTCAAAGTTTCTAATACCACAAAATCAGAACCTCTTATAGAAACGTTATTTTTGCAATCTTTTTCGCAACAGATCGACTCCGATCCGCATATTTTCAAACCGGTAATGTTATTGTATCATAAAAAACGTCATAAAACCTTAAGTGTTTTCAATCTTTATATTCGACTGATTATATATTTTATACTTTAAAAAATAATAAGATAAAGAGATATCCTTGTATAATAAAATTAATAATTAAACATACAATTAAATATCAAGCATACAATTAAACTGTATACTTGATATAATAAGATTAATCTATGCATGATATAATAAACATAATAATCTTTTCAGTATAAAGACTATGAAAGGACAAAAGAAGAGAATGTAAGAAATCAAATAAAAACAATTCAAAATTTCCAAACAAAAACGTCAACATCCGTGCGAAAATTACAGCAAAACAATTTAATTTACAATCAACAATATAATTCAATGTAACAATTTATTTATTCCTGTAGCATTTTTATATTCAATTAATTAATATTCTGAAATAATAATATACTTACATAGAAATATGGCCGAAATAGAAGACAGTGAAATATTAGAAGAACAACCTGAGAAAGAAAAGGAATCAATAGCTATCGTAGATGAAGCACCTACTACAATGATAGATCTTGCAGAGGATAAAACCGAAAAGAGAAATGAAAATGAAGACATAAGTAAAGACAAAGACAGAGTTGAAGAAGGTAAGATTGCAGAGGATAAAACCGAAAAGAGAAATGAAAATGAAGATGAAAGTAAAGACAAAGGCAGAGTTGAAGAAGATAAGATTGATGACACAATTAAAGATGAGGATAAAATTGAGAGAATAGAAGGTAAAAGTGACTTGAGAGAGATATCCTTATCCTATTCTAATCAATCTAATACTGCGAAAAATATACATTTTAATTGTTTAGAATAGAAATAGATAAATCTACCCACGATTGTTCAAAATTATTACAAGTATGATTTAAAATTGCAGACAAAATAATGAAATTTGATGAATTTGCAGATAATCAGATACCAACAATCATCTCACCTGTTTCAACTGAAGATATAATTAAAGAATTAAAAGAAATGAATGAGAAATGTATTATATTAGCAGAGGAGATTCAAAATCTGAAGCGTGAAGTTCAAGAGTTATTAGATGTATAATATTTCACACATTGTTATATATTTAATGAAAAACTTAATAATATTTATAATTCATTCTCTTTAATCTACTAGAAACCCGAATTAACAGAGGAAGACACGTTAATAATTCAAGAGAAGCAAGATATCCTCATGTCAAAAGTAGCTGAACTCGAACAGCTGACACAAAAACTTGAAAAAGTACTACAAAAATATATTTAGTAGTACAATTTTGGTAAATTATTTTACACATAATTGTATCTTTGCGACAAGCTCGACGCAAAATATAGTTCTGTAATGATGCATATTAGAAAAATGAGATAGAGATATATTCTAACAGATAATAAATATTACAGACACGAGAAAAGCTAAAACAAATTGAAGATGTAAGCGTCGAGATGGAAGAAGTTATAGAAGAAAAGGAAGAGGAAGTTGACAAGGAAAAAAAAGACATAGAACCCTTAAAAAGGATTCCCGAGGAGGATCGCTTTGAGTTACCGCAAATAGCCTACCCTGAAGATAAGTAAGTTAAAAATGCTAATTAATTGTGAGATATTTTCCAGCATTTATTTTTGTATGAAATCAGACTTCCAAGAGTGATTGTTTGCGGTTACACGGAAGATATGCTTCCAAAAATCGTCATAGCAGATGGCGAGCGAAAAGGGAGAGAAAAGTGTTTTGAAAAATTAACTGGAAAACTGACAGAATCCTTAACGATGCAAGAAAAACTAGTTAAGGAAAACGCACAACTGGAAGGGGGAAAGTATGCTCATTTCTTGCATATCATAAAGTCTAAACAAATATAAAACATAAAAATTTATAGATAAAATCTATACTACAAATAGAAAGATATAAATAGTTTAGTATTTAATTAAATCGCGGATAATTGGATAACATATATATATATATATATATATATATATATATATATATATATCAAACTTATTAACATTTTTTAATTAAATCTTATAATTAGATAAAAATTTACATATTAAAAACAGACAAATTTACGTAGAGTTAAATCTTATTTAAAATAATTACATTTGAATTAAAGAAAAGGATTTTCCCGATTAATTTTTTAAGAACACCCGGTTTACAAGAAATTTTTTAATAGTTGTTTTATTGGTGTAGAATAATAGAAAGTCGAAAAATGTTTGAAAGTTATACCGTTCCCTCGGCGACGATGTTTTCAAATATTGAAGCATGTCAATCATATGTCATTCATACGTAACCCGATATACCGATTTTATAACAATGAATTAAATGTGCAATTTGAAGATTTCATTTTTAAAGAAAAGTGTGTATTTTACAATATTTTGCTTAAATACTCCCTATTCTCGTCCGATTTTAAAATAAAGCAAACGGAAGATCACGAATACATGGAAAGCCGTGCTTTTCCGTAAACAGGTACAAGCTAGAGGAAGCCTTACTGGAGAAGGACACGGCTCTCGAGAGTTTACAGAGGAAGGTATGCGCCCTCCAGGCAGAAATGCGTATAATTGTCAAAGAGAATACGGAGCTGAGCCGTCAATTGTCCAATTTGAATCAGTTAGTGATTAGTTCTACCTGCTGTTACACCTGCCCAGGTGTTGCTTCGTCTCCCCCATTGACACCGCCATCATTACCTCCTCGTCCGCATGTCAGTACGCAACCTCAGGACGACGTTTACTGCCGATGCAAATGTTGTCTTCAGTTCGTTGATACTCTATCACCGACTACGGAAACCGCATGCAGTAAGACAGCTTATAATTACCAATAGTAGTCTGCCAGTTGAAAAATAATCTGATTAGAAGCTAATTAATTATATTAAATATTATATTATAATTATATAATAATAAATATTCTTGATAAATTCTTCTATTCATTATCTGAATGTTTAATCGATCAGATTCACCAAGGCTCACGGGAGGCGGCTCGAGAACGGACGATCGTTGTTTCGTAGATAACAATCCTTTGCAAAACGTGGAGATGTATTCCCGCGGTCCAGCTATTGTTAAGCCACCACTTCCTCGGGGACCGTGTCCCGCAGAACTGGAAGATAAACTCGCCACCTATGGTACTAGCACTAAACAACTGGTAAGTCTTAAGAACTGAGTAAATCATTATAATCTTTTTGAGGATAGTAAGTCGAGGACGATTTAAGAAAAATAATAAAAAATTTCCTTAAACACAATTTCAATATTTTTTTTATAAAAGATATGTGGTAACATCGTGGTACAAGCAGTGAGGAGAATAATTTTCGTACGTTCTAGATATATTTTCTATTTCTTCCTCTTCTAATTTATTCTCTTATAGTTCTGTTTGTGTATCAGCTACATAGAATAATAAAATCTATATATTCTATAATAATATATAATATAATATATAAATTGTATAGTATTTTAATAATATATTATAATATATTTATAATATATTATTTATAATATTTATAATATATTAATATATTTATTTTATATATATATAATTTATAATATTTATAATATAATATATTATAATATATTATAATATATTATACTAATGTTTATTATGCAAAAAGAGATTAATTGAGCGAATCTAAAGCTGCAATATGGCTTCATCTCGACTTCTTCAGGAACAACAGTTAGGTAGTATGGAAACCGAGGTACGTAATATGCAGATGGAGTTAGCGAATGTGCAACGAGAGCGGCAACAACTGGAACAACAACGTAAATTGCTCAAGTGTACTGGACCTTGTGCACCATGTGCTTGTTGTCCACCTCCACCCTCGACGTGTGTGACCCCGGGACTTGCGTTGAAAGGGCCTGCCGCTCAGATACCTGTAACACCTATACACTTTCCGATTATTTCTTACTTATATTCTCTAAGATTTTCAAACAATACAAGTTTCTATATTTATTTTGATATATATTTCATTTTATCGATATAATTCTATAATTCATATATTATATAAATTTATATATTATATAAATATATTATAAATATTATAAATAATATCAATAATATATTAATAATATACATACATACATACATACATACATACATACATACATACATACATACATACATATATATATATATATATATATATATATATATATAAAATAAATAAATATATTATAAATATTTTAAATAATAATATATTATAAATATAATGTATTATATAATTTATATATTATTTATATATTATTCTATAATTTATATATAATCAAACTATATTATTTATTTAGTTTGATTATATAGTTTGCATAATTATATATAATATATATATATATATATATATATATATATATATATATATATATAAACCATTTATTTATTTTCTTCATCATGCGAATGAATAAAAATTTATTAAATAGCAAGCAAATACATTTTTTTTGTCAAATATAGATGACTGCAACTGATTCCTGTACAAACGCAGCCATGGTAAGACTATAATGGGGAGAAAATTTCATTGACCACCTTGAATAAAATCACAGAATATCAATGATTTTAGAGCAGTGTTAGCGCTCAACAGCAATTACGCGATCTTCGCGAACAATATGCCCGTCTTCAGGATGATTATAAGAGCAAATTATGCGAGGTATCATGTATGAGAACAGAAGCGGAAAAGTTCAAACAGGATACGCGGGATGCAAAGGAAGAGAAAGAACGAATGGAGATAAAATTGATAGATGTTCAAGAACGGCTGAAGCTTTTAGAAACGGAAAGAGGAAAATTTGAAGGCAATATCTTTTTTTCTTTTATAGACGAAGTCTCATCTTTCACAACTTCATTTTAAATGTCTAAAATATATAAATACGAATTAATTTCAAAACAGGTCAAAAGGAACAACTCATCGAACAGGAACAGTCTTTAATGGTGGCGAAACAACGCTTTCGTGAAGCGCAGGATGAATTAGAGGAGCTTCGTTCTTTGATTCAGGATCAAGCTGCCCAACTGGAAGATTATCGCAATAAATATTTACAAGTCGGTACCGTTACGATTTATCAGTTAAATTTTATCAGACTTAATTATTCTCGAGCGTAAATAATTTTATAAAACTGAAAACAAACTAATTAAAATAGGCCCAGCAACAAGTTGAAGAACAGCGTCGACAGCTGGATCTTATGGAAATGGATAATGCACGAATGAATGAGAATGTAACTTTAGAAATTGGACGGGTTAAAGTATGTCAAACATTAATATTATTGTAATTTGTTATTTAGATCATTTAGAAAAATTCTTATTCTATAATATACATATGTATATATTAACATATAATAGAATCAATTTCAAGAAAAATTAGCCGAACTTGCACCGCTACCCGATATCCTGAAACAAATGCAAATAAAGATGCAAGAAGCGCAACAGATGCGCCTAGTCGCTGAACGCAACTGCGAAGATCTGTCACGGGAATTGCTAGGATGCAAGGATAAGATTCAAACTTTGCAAGATCAGTTAGACATGTTGCGTCCAGAACATCAGGCACTTCAGGTTGCAATTTATTAGCTTAATAAAAAAACTTAATAAACAAACAAAATTTTTGGTGAAAAATAATTGCTTGTAGGATAAAAAGAATCACGAATCCGCTAAATTCGAGGAGATAGAAAGAAAGTGCAGCGAGTTGCGACATGAAAATGAGAGAATGAAAAACACATTGGCACGATTTGACGAACAGGAAGCGCAGTTGCAAAAACGCATCGACGAGAAAATGCACGAGAACACGCAACTGTCGTCGATGTTGGAGCAGGTATGTTGTGTGCGTTGATTCTAAAATAATAAAGTATATGATAAAGTAAAGAGAAGAGCTGGATTTCCTTTTTATTTAAGATAAGAGAGGATTCTGCTCGGCAAGTAGCGAGAACGAAGGAACGATGCGAAACTATGCGAAGATCGATGCAAGGCCAGATCGCTGAAATGGAAAGACAATTAGCACAATGTAGAGCAACGGCACGTGCTGCTCAACGTGACAGAGATGAGGTAACAATTGCTGTTACGAGGTAAAAATTTTAACAGGGGCAATGATGTATCTATCACGGTTTGCTTTTCGTTTTAACGTATGTAGATCAGACAAAAGATGCAGAGTCAAATAAATAATTTGAACGAGGCATTTAAACACGCGCAAGGCCGCATAAAATCCTTACAAGGCCACGTAAATTATCTCAAGACTTCTTATAGTAATATCTTTCTCGGCCAAGGAGAAACACCGACAGGTGCTTTGCCAGCAGACGATTCCTGCGATTGCAACTATTAAAAACTACACATATAATTTTTCAATAATAATGATATATTTTTGTTTAACGTAACGAAATCGAAGTATACTATTTTGTTGCAGCACTTAAATCTCGTGCATTTATATTCTAAATAATATGACATCCTAATAAACAACTGAGAAAATTGATTGATAATTGTTATATCATCATCATTTTTATAAATATATGTGTAAATTTTAAACAATACATAAAATATAAAAAAGCAAAGCCAAAACCTATGTATTCATTATATAGTATAGTTGTTGATTTCATTATCATTAATATGGATTTATTTCATAGTCTAATTTTTTCATATAGAAAAAAATGCTATGTATACAGATATAACAAAGCATTAATTTATCAGAAACTTTAACAAAAATTAGCATGTATATTATTAGAAATGCATATTGAATGAATATTCCTTTTTCATTACATATATATTTTTATTTAACAAACTTTCACTATATTTATAAGCATTGAAGTAAAAGAATGTAGCATATGATAGTACTGCAATAATTGATTAAAGGAAAACAAGCTGAAAGAAGTGAAATATATATAGTATATGAAATAGAATGTCACAATATTGCAATTACCAATTAAAAAAAAAACGAATTGTGAAAATTCAGATAAGATGATATATGTACATATGAAAAAGAAATACCTAACATTCAGAGATATGAATTCCTTTAGTTCGCATCTGAATGAAGCATATTGAGCATATTAAGAATAGCATCCGAACGCGATCGCACTCTTTCCATTTCTACTCGAAATTCCTCCAGCTGAGATTCAATTCGCTGTGCATAAGCATGACAGCATCTGTAAACCAATATAAAATGATTTTAATAATAACTTAAATAAATGTAATAACTTAAATAAATGAATAAGAAAAAAAATATATATATTTAAGTTATAATTATATATATATATATATATATATATATATATATATAATATATATATAAAATTTATTCATTTAAGTTATTATATACATATACATATATAATAACTTAATATATATATATACATATATATATATACATATATAATAACTTAAATGAATAAATTGTACAATAATATGTGATATACAGTAATAATTATATACAGTAATATATAACATTATTATTTATCAAATTTAGCCAATTTTTTTGTTAACACAACTTGAAATTTTGTGCTTTCATAAAAATTAACATCCATGTATATACATATACATACACATATATACATATATATGTGTATACATATATATGTATACACATTAACAAAAAAATTGACTAAATTTTATAAATAATAATATTATATATTACTGTATATAATTATTACTGTATATCACATATTATTGTATATAATATTGGAAAAGTTGTTGAGAAATATTTGTTTATGAAAATATACCTTCCAACAGGTTGTCCTGAGTTTGAACATGATGGTTCCGGAGATGTACATGACGAAATTTTGATTTGTTGAGGACAATTCGTTAAATAACATTCCTTCTTGTGCATAAAGTTTTTGTTACTATTAGATGGATTGGAATTGTAACAATCTCCGCATCCTCGTATGAGGTCCATTAGGAGTCCTCGCACTCTTTTCCCACTTAATCTTCGTCGTCTTGTCTAAGAGAAAAGAAAATATATAGTTATAATCGCGAATCCTTATAAAATATTCAAATAGAATTATGCAACTTACCTCTGGTGTTTCGCTACATTGTTTTAATGTTATTAATGGTTCTTCGTCACGTAAATTAGGAGAAAGATGATTACACGACTCGTTACAATCTCGATCTATACTTATTGATTGCGGCTCACATGTACAAGTCTCTTTCAATGTGTTACAACATTTATGACTCTCTTGACAAGTTTCTCTTGGATCATGTAGCGTGTCATGATATGCTGCTGTTTGACATTTATACGTAGGTTCTTCTATGGTAGAATTAACAATATTTTTATGTAAATGCTTGTTAGGTTGTAGGTTTCTTGAAAAACTTCGCCGATGTTCCTTGGTGTTTAGTTTTTCTTTGCTACAATTAAAATTATCTTCAAACTTCTGTTTTTCTTTATGTAAGGAACAATTCTGCTCTAATAAATCTACATTATGAATGCAACAGGAATGTAATTTTTCTTGGTCATGTGTTTGTTTATGTTTTGAACATTCTTTATGATCTTTTGACAATTCATAATCTTCGCAAGAGGAAACACATATGCTTGGATTAAGTAGGGTATTTGCATGTGCTTTCTGTGCATCTGTTGAACAGGATGCTTTTGCCATATTAAATGAAGGTGAATGTGTGCATGAAAAATTAGACACGGCTGAAGAGAGGTCAAATGTAGGAGGAGTTTTACATTTTTTACTTGTCGAACATACTAAATTATTGCCATTAAACCTGGTATGTGGTGTCTTTTGTAAGCAAAAACATTTTTTATCATTTATCCCTTTAGTAGATATTTCTATCTCATTTTCTATTCCAGTTTCGGCTGTCGATTCTTGACTGATCTGAAAAAAACATTTTAGAATAATTATGAGGCAAAATCTTAGAATATTTATGTATATCTTGTAATATATATAATTATATAATATAATATATATGATATATGTAATTATAATATAATTATAATATATATATATGTAATATAATTATATAATTTTATAAATTATAATATAATTTGATTACACACACACACACACACGCGCGCGCGCGCGCGCACACACACACATATATATATAAAATTTGTAAAGTTACTTACTTCTTTTCCCCAAATGTTGATTGTTCCATTAATTTCAGACATTCTTACTTCTATATTACCAACTATGTATGGACCACCTTCTCGTCTTTTTTCATTAACAGTCTTTTCTTTTGCAGGTTCTTTTGCTATGATTAGAAAACTATGATCTTTACTATTTTCACTCTCGTGATATACGAAGCATTTTACATTATCATCTTGATCATCAGACATTTCCATATTTTCTTCCATAGAAGCAGAAGTTTCTAATTGGCTTGTGTTGATATTAAAAGAATTTTCTTGTGATTCCACTTTCTCTTTTACCAAATCACATGGATGCTTAAACTGTGAATCATTAGGTAAATTATTTAACTTTAGATGTGATTCTGTAGCAGTTTCATAAGCTTTGGAAGATAGAAAACTAGATGGTTCAATATCCTCAATCTTTCTTTTTTTAGAGCTAGATGGTCGACAACTACCATTGACAACTTGACATCTACCATCATCATTTTGCAGTTCTGTCATTGAATTTTCACTTAATCTTCTCTTTGAATTTTGTACCAAAGGACTTTCTAATTTTGTTTTTCCTTGTGTAATATTTGAAAGAGTTTGTAAGATTCGGGACGAAGTAATAAATGTGCGAGATAGTGATCGAGTTGTTTTTGCTGGTGTACCATTGGTCAACATTATACTATCATCAGAATGTAACGTTTTTACTGCTTCAGGTGGTTTCATCGATATCGATAAATTACAAGCGCCATCACTCCACTGATCTATAGAGCTTAATGTCGAGGCGACACTATTACCTAATATTTTATTATTAGATTGCTTTATGTGTGTAGATTCTGCTTCCTTGTGGTGTTTTTCAGGTGCAATTGTTTTAATGTCATCTGTTTGAATTGATGCAACTTTCTGTTCTGGAGGTTTGCTTTTCTTCTCATATTTTGCTAAAGATTTCTTCAGCTCTTTTATTTTGTCTTTTAATTTTATATTCTCCATAACTTGTTCGTGAAATGCATTGAACAACTTATCATGTCTTACATCTCTTTCATATAACTCATTTTTTAATGTGGCAATATAGTTCTGGATTTTTTCATTTATCTTGCCTGAGCTTACTTGCTCGTTATTATTTTTTATTTCATCTGACATTGTCTTAATGCTCTTAATGTTTTCAATTTTTAAGAGACAAGTTGTATCATCATTATTTATGGACATATCCATCAGCTCTGCATTATTGTATGTTTCAGGTTGAATATTTTCTTGCTTAGTAACATGTGCATTTTTATTTAGATCAATTTTTTGACTAGGATTAGAAATGTTGTGCACAAATTCCTCACAATTTAATGTATGTGAATTAAAAAGTACTGTTGATTCTTCTTGATGACCATTTGGAATAGAAGATGGCTGCATAGCATTTTCATAATGTGAGACTTCTTCATTAAAAGTTGCTGCTTCAGGAAAATTAAGCTTTAATTGTTTGTCTTCAACTGTTCCATTCTGTTTTTGCATCTTTTTTGTAATGTTCAAAGGATCTCTTTCATCCTGTGTAGATTCCTCATGTATCGATTCTAAATAATTTTTATTATCTTGACCATTTAATATTGGAGAAGTACTGAAAGTTATTTTATCTCCCTCACATGCTTCTGCGGTTTCCAACTCTTTAATTGTTCTTTCGGCATAATCTTTTATTGTCTTGTTGGTTACTGTAAGCTTTGTCTCTTTTACATCATTGTTCTTATGGTTAGTGTTACTTTTGTTATGAATCGTATCTTCCTGATTCTGCTTCATATGATTTTCTGCGGAACGTCTATTTTGTTCTTTTACATCTTTAATATAAAGTTTGACTTTGCTTTGTACATGATGATATTTTTCTGATGTCGACTGCTTTTTCTGTAACACGGAATACATTATAGGCTCTTGTGCAACGTTCATAAATTTCTTATTATATGGATCACACAAATATTTTCTTTGTATATATTCAATTTTGTTCTTGGACATATTCAAGTCTTGAAGAGAAAGACTCTTTTCCTTGTCAGGATATTTTAGTCTTCTATTTAAGACAAAATCATCAGATCTTCCATCACAATACAGCTCGAAATTATTATCCATTGTATCATCATCATGTATTTGTCGTAAACATTTTTCATCATCCCTTTTATCCATCTCATCATCTTCATCCTCATCTTCTTCGTCCATCAAATGTCTCCTATTACCTGAATCTTCTGGATCCAATTCATTGTCAAGCTCCAAATTTCCCATATCTATGTAAATAATACAATAATTATGATTAAATTGTGTATATATGTACATATATATATTAATGATTATTTCATATATAACTTTGTAAAACTAAGCGCAAAAATTATATAATTATCGATGTTACAAATATAAGATAAATAGCTAATTTCGTCAAACCTTTGACGATGTTCAAATCGTTTCAAATCGGGAAATATAGTCGATATACACGAGATTGCTTAATTTATTTAATTTTAAGAAGGCTTGACAAAGTTATAGCCATTTACCTTACTAATTATTTATTTGAGAAAACAATATATGCTAAGTTGATTTAATTCTGTGTATTACTTTACCATCAGTGTCGCCATCGTATTCATCTTCGTCGTCTTCATCATTATAAGGATGCTGATCCATATCCTCTTCGGATGACAAAACGTACACACTGCTTGGCGCCTGATTATCACTATGATAAGGACTTTGACTACAATCTTCCTCCATCTCCTGGGACATGTTCTCCTGGGACATGCTCTCCTGGGGCATATTCTCCTGCTGTTTCGCGTTGACGACGTCCGAGTCGTCGCGTCTCGACGTGCTGGACACGCTGATGTACGTCGGCATCTCCTCGTCCTCCAGCATAGCCGCGTCTGTTCGATTCATTAATTTCACCTCGCTCTTGGACGAATCGTTCGGAAGATCCTCTATCGTCTTCGTCTCCGCCTCGTTGTCGTCGGGCGGGTGTTCGCTGTTGTCCGACATCGTGGGGAGCTACGGGAAGGAATCACAGATTTTTTTTAGCGAACGATGACACTTGGGGTCCGAGGACAATCGCGGCGATATCCGTTCGCGATTTATTCCCGATCGAGTCGCTCGCCGGCGAAGTTTACGTGGCGCGTGCGATGGAAGGCACTCTTTCGTCAGCCGCCATTACACGGAACACACTAAGCGATATCTCCTTCGTGATAATCCAACGCGGGAGAGAGGTTGCTCTATCGATTTGCTTACATCGCGTCGCGAATAAATTTGGAGCGCTCTTACGCTTCGACGAGACGAGCTGTTAGCGAAGGAAATTCGTACACTAGGTGAACCCTTTTTTCCGATATCGAGTCGTAATCCCCGCAAGATTAATGACCCTCACATCGCAGGGCCGTACGTATCACGTGATAACCAAGCGATCGCATTTTACCTCGTCTGGGAATTTATTTGATTATTTACCGTCACTTCGATCGAAGGTTAAATCATTCAAATAATTACCTGAAGAAATTTATTAATTAATTCTAGGAGGAAACGTAGCTTTTTCCGCGTATCGCGCGACAAGCGCCTCAAACGTCAAACTCAACGTCACTGGCGCGCATGCGCGCGCCTCCAAACGTCAACTCAAACGTCACTGGCGCGCATGCGCGCGCCGCCGAGCGTCGCGGAAAATCGCAGGAAAATCTCTTTTGATTTTATTTCATCGCAGCAATCGATCCTCCCTCGATGTATATATATTCGTGCACATATATATGTGCGATTGAGAGTTGAGGCACCTTTGTTTTTTTTTTTATTCAATGTTGATCCCGTGAACACGCGAATCAGACGCAATAAACAGCGGAAACGTCGTGACGTCGAAGCGCCGATCATTCTTGGAACACGCGCGCAGAAATTCTATTCTAACCTCTACTCCATCCCTCGACGATGTCATCGAGCGTCGCTGGACTATCTGTCACCGTCGAGTTCGGGTAAGGTCGAAAAAAAATAATTTACCGTCCTCGAAAAACGGGATAAATCACTCGTATCGTGCTTGCAGGGGTGGGGCGGAATTACTGTTCGACAAGAAGAAGAGGCACGAGCTGAACTTACCTGGCGATGAATGTGAGTAGGCCGCGTTAAAAAGACGCGCGATTCGATTTATCCCTCGCTAACGACACGAAAATCCCCAGGGACCCTGAAGCGACTGCTGTTCTGGTTAAGAGATAACCTCCTGACGGAGCGGCCGGAACTCTTCATGCAAGGTGACACGGTGTAAGTTCGTCTGCCGATTATATATCTGTCCACGCGTTCGTCGCAATCGCGTTAATCACGTCCGTTCGAGCCTCAATAGCCGTCTCGACGAGCTCGCGATATCACTATTGCGATGCAACGCGATCCGAGAACGTAAACGTTATTACTGTCGTAAATCGACCGATACCGCGACCAAAATGGCGGCCTGGTTGTTGGCATCGATCCACAGATGTCGACACTATGTCCGATTCGCGGTAACTTCGGACTGAGGTGGAGCTCGACCGACCAATCAGAGGGGGCAAGATTTACTCGTCCTGATTGGTCGACCGAACGATGCTGGATTTAGAGCAAATTTTCGAACGCAGTCAAGGATTTGCATTTGAGTGTAATGTTATTTTCTCCTCGTATGAATAATGTCTCAAGTGGAGAAGGTCAATCGTATTTAAAAATGTCAAATGTCAGGTATGGAAAAAATGAAGTGCAGAAAGTTATTAATGTAAGAAACTCTTTGTTCTTTTTTATACTGATGATTGACCATTTTTTGTGCACGATGGCTGTAACATTTAAGAATAATAGAAATTTATATTTATATTTCAAAAATATTTATAAATTTTATTATGAAATTATTTTTTATTATGAAAATATCTGATATTCGGGCAGAAAGAATGTCAAATATCAGGTATGAAAAAAATGAAGTGTAAAAAGTTATTAATGTAAGAGACTCTTTATTCTTTTTTATACTGATGATTGACCATTTTTTGTGCACGATGGCTGTAACATTTCAGAATAATAGAAATTTATATTTATATTTCATAAAAATATTTATAAATTTTATTATGAAATTATTTTTTATTATGAAAATATCTGATACTCGGGCAGATATCAAGGCAAACCATACAACACAGACTGTATTGTTGTAATGTTATAACAATAATATTGCTGCAATATTCCATGCTGTATGAGAAGTTAAAATTATTAGAGATAATTCAAAAGATGGTGTATATAATAATAATATAATGAATCTTATAAAAAAAATATGATGGCGCCGCGATCTGTCGACAACTTCATATCGATCGGCCATATTGATATTTCGCATTCGTCATCATGTTTTGCGCGGTAAAAGATCGCGGTGCGGAAACGCGAGTTTGTTCGCTTCTAGTTTCGTTAACTTCCGTCCGTTTTGTTAACTTTCCGGTAATTGGGAGAGAGCGTTAATGCGAAATTCGTAAGTTTTTAATACACAATACGGTAGTTGTAGGAGAATCGCGTAACTCGATTTAACAAGTTTGCCTCTTGCTTGTTGTAGGAGGCCGGGAATTCTTATTCTGGTAAACGACGCCGACTGGGAGTTGCTGGTGAGTGTTTGTTGCATTTCTGTTTGAATATTTTCACGGACATCTACAGATGTTTGTAAGAGACGATAAGAAAACTTTATATAATTATCGTAAATCTTAAAGTACATCTTAGCGAAAGAGTCTCGCATAATATATACATTATATAGTTATTTTTTCGCTACCGGATACGTTTCTAACCAGGCGTTTTACAGATAATAAATAAATTTGAGATTAATGTTTTTTTAATAAAAATTATCTACAAAAATAATTCTTTGATGTGAAAATTAATATGAAATAAAAGCGATGTGAGAATATTTTTTGATATGAAAATTAAAGAACATTTTTAATTATTATTATTAATATTTAATATTTATTTATAATTTAATTTTTGCTGTTATATGCTATTTATGCATTAGTTTATTAATTAGCTAACTTTCTTTTTATTAATTAATTAGTTAACTTTCTTTTTATATTTCTTACAAATGAAATATGAAAATTATAATATCCAATATCTAATCATCGTCAAATTTTATATTGCATGTATATAAAATCATAAATAACCATAAAATAACCATAAACATTTCTATAAAAGAAATAGAATAAACTAAAAATTATTTACTTGTTAGACTTTTTTTATATAATAATTATTTAGCATTTGAGTTTTTTATTGGAAAATTAAATAGCTGATTTATTTACAATTTTATTATTATTTGAAATTATTATTTAAAATTTTTATTCAAGATGAATGTTTTTGTGTATGAATTTCAAAAGTATATTGGGTTATTATAACTTTATCCTTCTCTGAAGAAAATTTTTAAAATATAAATTTCTTAATGCCTAGCGAGAATCACAGACCAATTTAAATTTGAAAAGAATTTGAATAGACTATTTAACTTTTTAAGTCGTCATGTTACGAAAAATTAATGCACCATGTTTGGCGAATGAATTTTTTAAATACAATATTTTTATATTCTCAATTTTTGTGGAATTATTAAAAAATACATTAGTAGAGAAAAAATATACACGCGTTTAAATGTCAAATATATTTAAAAAACGACATTTATTTATATGCAATTTTGTTTAACTTTTCGTATAAATTTGCTTGTAGGTAATTGAGTTGTTTTGACATTTATTTTATATAATTTATATAATATTATTTTTATTACTTTTCTTTTACGTCATTTTTAAAGAGGAGAATATAATTGCGAAATCATATGGTAAAACTATTTATCTTTATGTTTCTTCTCAACACTGAGTTAATATTTTAATTGATGTTTTTTGCAGAGTAAAAGTTTTTTTGAATTTTTATTATGATTTAAATAAAAATCAATTCTTTTGTCGACTTTGATTATTTATAACTTTTAATAAAATTACAATTTTTTTTAAACTAAATGATTAAATCATAATTTATTTCTAAACAGAAAAAGATAATGAAAATTCAACCAATAAATTCGAGCCAAACTACACATGAAAGTTTGAGAATATGATTTTATAGAAGAGCATTTCAAAGATTTTGATAAATTTTTTAAAAAATTATTTTATAAAATTAAAATTTCTCAAAAATAATTTTTTTAATAAAAAAAATTTTGATCTTTATTTTTAACCGCACTTTCTCTTCCAAGATGCATATCTCATAATAAGGACTCGTAAACATTAGAATCAAGAAACATCGGCTTTAAAATACAATAGATCTAGATATTATTGAAAGCAAAGACTCTCTGAAGTGAAATTGCTAAGGAGAAGAAAAATACACGAAAGACGATATCGTGAAAACAAGTGCATAAATATCTAGCGGAGCTTTTAAAGTTGGGCTTTACGGTTAATAAAACCAAGAATTCGATTGCGGTTTGCGAGTGCCGAGAGATTGCCGAGCGGCGGTTTAAAATATTAATCTCAAAGGCGCGAAGAAGTGCACGGTGCGGGGGCGGACGACATCCCTCGTCGTGCAATATTTCTTTCCCCGCGCCAACCTTCCCGACAGTAAGGTAGGTGACGCACGGCCTGTGTTCCTGGCGTCTGACAAACGGGATACCCCGTGACCGGTTTTTACAAACGGCATAATCGGCCTGTCGACCGCCATCGCCATCGCCGACGTCGCTTACGCGGTAGATACGCGGGGGTGCGGGATAACGGAGCGACTCCGGACGCTGAAAGGGCGCAAATGACCTCGGTTTGCCACACCCACGGAGAGAATTATCATTTTAAATTTGTAAATGTACACGTCGCGGATATTAGGAGGAGAGAAAGAGAGAGACGCGGTTCTCTTCTCGCGCTCGAGCGGGAAGATGCTGCGGTAGAAAGGAACGAGGGATAAGATGATGGCTCCGGCCATTATTATGATAATACTGCCGCTTCTCCGCTTCGGCTTTTGCGTTTCCGCATCTTTTCGCTCTGGCCATCTTCTCCTCAAGACGCACGTATAGTAATATATGTCGTCCTTTCTCCCTCTTCTTTCTTCTTTCTCTCTTTTCCTGCAACATAGTCTTGATGAATATTCGAGATGAATTTTCCGGATTACGCATAATATGCTCGCTGTCGATAGCGAAGAGATATTATTACAAAAGCGCGAGCTTAAGAATGAAGTCTTCGTTAAAGATAGTGTTTTCATTTGATAACACGTATGTAATAATATGTCCTAGATTTATTGATGGTTTTTTATTTACGGATTTCTTATTAATGCGACTCGAATCATAGGTTTTTTCTCAATGGGACTATCGAGGGATTTTTAAATCATAAATAATTTAATAAATTAAAATTGAATCATAAATATTAAAAAATTAAAATATTAAAATATTTAAATCATAAATAATTTAATAAATTAAAATAAATAATTTACAAGGACTTCAAAACTAAATTTTTAGAATTGCAGATAAATACGACAGATATTTTATTTTAAGTAAACTTTAACATAAAATGTAAAAGTTTTAAAATTGATTGATATTTGATTGGATAAATTTAATAGATACTCAAGTCACAATTTCTAACATTGAATTAGAAGAAATGAAAGAAATTAAATGTCACACTTTCTAAATTTTCTTTTCTCTCATTTTCTCTTTTTAAAGTAAAATATTAAAAATTCCAAATTAAGACTTCTTTATTTCTTTTAATATAACTTTTATTAAAAAGAAAAGTTGAATATATATTTTAAATTTTTTAAAGAATACGAACATTAAATTTTTTAAAGAATATATAAATGTACATTTGATAAAATATTTTCTTAAAATTTCTTGTCATATAATTTCGCAGTGAGTTTTAATCATGTTTCACGCCGCTTTCGATTGATTAAAAATATTTAAAAAATTTAATTTTTTCAGGGTGAAGGCGATTATAAACTATGTCCGCGGGATAAGATTCTCTTCATCTCAACATTACATGGAGGATAGAAGGTACCATATTTTTAATATATTGAAAATCCACAATAAGTGCGATTCACTCATATTTCATGGAATTTTTTTTTATATAGTATATAAAGAATTTTATATGTATTTCAAGTCGAGAGAATAAAATAAGAGAGAATAAAATAATATTTTTCCCATAGAATATGTGATCAGAATTTTAATAATAATTATGATATTAGATTATTAAAAAAAAACACTCGTTTTGTCTTGCAATTTGACTATTAAAACAAATATTGTTTTTTCAATATTATTAGATTTGGCTAATTTTTGAAAATTTAACTTACAGATATTTTGAATGACATTAATTTATAAATTAATCTGAGTGCATAATAAATGAATAAACACGTTGTGTACATAATAAACTGATATTTTTAAATTGCATTAATTAGTAGTCACGTACACAATTTAATTTTATTTTCGGTCACGTGTGAATTGTGCATATTTCCTTTGTTGATTTAATGTTTCCATTTTATAAAAAAATATAACGTGATATATAAAGCGAGGTATTCATTCGAATATTTTGTTTATGAGAATCGTGTATGATGTATATTTGATGGATATTTAATTAAACGTAAATTCATATAAACTTAAAAAAGTTTCTCTTCGATAAATTGAGAAGCTTTGTAGACAAATAAAAGATTTTTTTTTGTATGCTTTATGTTACATAAAATATTTTTGAAGTCTATGAAATTATTTTTTATCAACTTAATGCAATTCAAACTAACTCAGAATGAATTCAAACTAACTAATTATTTTTTATCATGTTTTTCTTTTCACTGAGGCATTTTAGCCAGTTTTAAAGGAAGATATTATCATATTATTTTTTGAAACCATTCATCCTCTTCCTAATTTCCTAGTTGTAAGTTTTTTGATGCAATTTGATAACAATGCATATCTCTTATACATATAAAGTTGAATAACTTTATATATGGCGCAACAATTGCGTAACAACATATGGTATAGCTCTCTTTTATGTTAAAACGAAAAACTTAAATGAAAATCGAAAAGGAGAAGGAAAATTTTGTAGCAAGATCTGTGAAATCGCCTAATTATGTGTATTATAACAGTAAATATATTTAATAGGATTTGATTGATTTAGGAGTGTCAGAGGAACATAGGATATAATATCCCGAAGTTTTTGAAGCTAAAATTTTATATAATCGAATATTTATCTCATTGCTATCATTTTTTAATTTTCATTTATATATATTTATTGTATAAAATAGATTTATATATCTATAATATTATATATTTAGTGAAAAATTTAAAATATTAACGATTTAGAAAGAAATTTTTTATATTTATTTAAATATAAATTATTCTGTTTGGCATTACAGATAACTAAAAACAATTGGTATTCTTGGAGTCTAATGATACTTTTTAGAGCTGTTGTAAAAAAAACTGCATACTAATACAGTAAATACTAAATATAATCCATAAGCGTGTTACATAAAGAATATTAATATATTCTATGCATATAGCTTTATAGTACAGATATATTTGACTGCTTAAAACCGAATGAACGAGCACAAACGAATATCAGCAAACGAGCTCGCAAAGACATTAATTATGTTTCATTTTTTAAAATAGTGTTTTATAAAATTAATGTTTATTGGTATAAAATAATTGTTTATAAAATTATAAATTAAAATGACGCTTCTACTGACATTTGCTGATATTTGGTGATTTTTATATTCTTTCCTCTTGATCTACATCTGACTCACATTAGCCCACCTTCTTAAAAGATGCAATGATTGACACTTCCAAATAATACAAGTAAATAATTTCTGATTAAAGCGCAGGCGGCTGTATTTATGCAAATCGCGAAATCGTAGCCGTGCCTCGTTAATCGAAATCATAGTTAGGACATAATTTATTTTTAAAATAATGTTCTATAAAATTAATGAAATGTATAAAATAATTGTTTATAAAATTATAAATTAAAATGACACTTCTACTGACATTTGCTGATATTCGGTGATTTTTACATTTTTTCCTCTTGATCTACATCTGGCTTACATTAGCCCACCTTCTTAAAAGATGCAATGATTGACACTTCCAAATAATACAAGTAAATAATTTCTGATTAAAGCGCAGGCGGCTGTATTTATGCAAATCGCGAAATCGTAGCCGTGCCTCGTTAATCGAAATCATAGTTAGGACATAACTTATTTTTAAAATAATGTTCTATAAAATTAATGAAATGTATAAAATAATTGTTTATAAAATTATAAATTAAAATGACGCTTCTACTGACATTTGCTGATATTTGGTGATTTTTATATTCTTTCCTCTTGATCTACATCTGACTCACATTAGCCCACCTTCTTAAAAGATGCAATGATTGACTCTTCCAAATAATATAGTTAAATAATTTCTGATTAAAGCGCAGGCAGCTGTACTTATGCAAATCGCGAAATCGTAGCCGCGTCTCGTTAATCGAAATCATAGTTAGGACATAACTCATTTTTAAAATAATGTTCTATAAATTAATGAAATTAAAATAATTGTTTATAAAATTATAAATTAAAATGACACTTCTACTGATATTTGCTGATATTCGGTGATTTTTATATTTTTTCCTCTTGATCTACATCTGGCTCACATTAGCCCATCTTCTTAAAAGATGCAATGATTGACTCTTCCAAATAATATAGTTAAATAATTTCTGATTAAAGCGCAGGCAGCTGTACTTATGCAAATCGCGAAATCGTAGCCGCGTCTCGTTAATCGAAATCATAGTTAGGACATAACTCATTTTTAAAATAATGTTCTATAAAATTAATGAAATGTATAAAATAATTGTTTATAAAATTATAAATTAAAATGACGCTTCTACTGATATTTGCTGATATTCGGTGATTTTTATATTTTTTCCTCTTGATCTACATCTGGCTCACATTAGCCCACCTTCTTAAAAGATGCAATGATTGACTCTTCCAAATAATATAGTTAAATAATTTCTGATTAAAGCGCAGGCAGCTGTACTTATGCAAATCGCGAAATCGTAGCCGCGTCTCGTTAATCGAAATCATAGTTAGGACATAACTCATTTTTAAAATAATGTTCTATAAAATTAATGAAATGTATAAAATAATTGTTTATAAAATTATAAATTAAAATGACGCTTCTACTGATATTTGCTGATATTCGGTGATTTTTATATTTTTTCCTCTTGATCTACATCTGGCTCACATTAGCCCACCTTCTTAAAAGATGCAATGATTGACTCTTCCAAATAATATACAATAGTTAAATAATTTCTGATTAAAGCGCAGGCAGCTGTATTTATGCAAATCGCGAAATCGTAGCCTCGTTAATCGAAATCATAGTTAGGACATAACTCTATGAAATAGATTTCCACGCGATACCCGAGGAACCAATCGTTGACGGTGGATCGATAGGATCCGCCACCACCTGCATCTAGTATAATAATCTAGCGATACACAATGGCGCCAATTAATCACGTGCATGAGCTCCGCATAAAATCGGGGAAAAAGATCCTAACGAGCGTCGATCATAAACGACCGATATGTAGCGGATATTCCTCTCCTCCCCCGCGTGCCTTCCGATCTTTCTCACATGTGTGTGTGTGTGTGTGTACGTGTTTACAGGCGTCGCTCGTGTGTGCGTCGAGTATGCGAAACGCATCCTCCTATCAACGAGAACCTGAGTGTGTCGCAATCGCTAATGGCCTGGCGGGGTTGGATGGTCCAGTGATTAATTGTGTCACCCATGATTACATTACGGACGCGCGCTGCGGATCCACTATATTATATACGGCCATATACGTGCGTGTAGCGGGCGGATTGCATGTTTGCAGGAGGAAACGCTCGTGTACGTGCCTGTAACAAGTCGACCAGGCTGCGGGAAACGTGCGTCCCGGCGGAAACGTACGTCCAGCCCGCTAATCTGCAATCGCAAGGTGCACCCCGATGACGCATGCGAAGAAACGCTTCGCTAATGCTCGCTGTTGTGCGATATCACGAGCTTTCCGTTTCCGTGCGCGTATTTATGTACTCGTGACGCCGTCGTCGGCGTCTCGTTGATATTCGCAAGCGTCTGAAAGCGCTCTCGCACGCACGTACGTACTTCGCAGTCCATAATCTATACATATGGCACTGTACTATCGGCGTGGTTCGTGAGCGCCATACGAAACGGCGAGAGAGATTCCTTATTTAAATGTCAAACGAAAATCTTACGGGAGAACATTTTCAGCGTACGTTGTACGTAATAGAAAGTAAAGATCTCCCCGTGAATAATTAAGGGGTGGATAATATTTTTTTTTCATTCTTCATTTAATTTTGAAACGAACTCTAAGAATATTTTTTATCTTTAGTTTCAAATTGAAAAATTATACGTGTATAACTTTTTTGTTTGGAATGTTATTTTATTCGATTTATTTTCTCATACATAAATAAAAAATCCATTATCATATAGTAGTCGTGATTTTTCACTTTGCACACAGAAAAAAAGGATATTCTTGTTTTGAAAATATATTTAGTTTTAACATGGAAATCTTGCGGAATGAGATTATATTGCGTTAATTAAAGAAAAATATAATTTTATACAGTTTTATATAGTTCAATCGAAAAAAATATATTCTTATAATTTAAGACTTAATTTTCTTGAAAGGAAAAGAAACAATGTGTTAGATGGGAAATAACATTTTGAAATGAAAGATTATAATTTTCTTAAAGCAGAATTAAATAATTATATATTGTTTAAGTGACAATTGCAATATTAAAATAAGATTATAATATTGTTGAAATTTAAAATGATTAAATTCTTCCAAGAAGATTATAAATTGGTGCATATATACGAAATAATGAATGCATTAGCTTAAGTATATAAGTTTTGATTTAACACTTATTTTTTTCTGTGCATGATTTTCAAAGCAATAATTATCTTCGCGTTTTTTAATTTTAAACATGAGCAGTGATAAAAATAATGAGAAATGAGATTTCTTACATTTGGCAAAATTGTCATTTCTTCCCTGATACGGTTCGTCATTTTAACTCCATTTCCTAGAACCGTCCGAAAGAATTATATATTCACCATCCTTATTCCACGCCGGTACTTAAATGCTCAACGTTTCTGGTCTC